TACCTACATGTACATGTACATGTACTGAATGAATGAGAAAAAAACGTTCTGAAAGTGAAGACAGGGCTGGTCCCAAATACATGTGTACTCGGTGAAATTATTCCCCCCTGCAGATTTTTTTTGCATTTTTGTTGTTTCACACAAGAAAAGTGTACTGTACAATGTAATTAAACATTTTAACAGGTTACAATGTAATTAAACAGAATATGGGCAATTCCACACTAATGGTCCCATAAGTGTTACATTTGAGAAGACCTTTTGAATTTTGATAAATAAAACCAGGATCTTGGTCTCTCATTTTTTTTTGCTGTAAGCATTAGAAGCTTTGAACAAATATCCTCACCTGCAAAGGATATTACTGGTTTTGTATTTTAGAAAATATGGTGGATATTGTTTTTAAAAGTGTTACCTACGTAACGAAGGACAGACATTTTAGATAAAGTCACAAAGAAAGCATAACATTTAATTTTCCCCTAATGTTGTCTGATTTACCCAAGAAGATGTACCCTGGAGGAATGCCAGTCAAAACCTAGAAAACTCAGAGTCAATGTGAAGAATTATTTGATAACATCCATAAACTTACATGTATCTAATTGGCCCATTTGTGTGGCATTGCCCATAACTTTCCTAAATTAAACAAAGTAAGTCTAAAAGACGGACAGAAAACATGAAAAAGTGTCAAAATAAACCTATTTTCCCACCTAACTGGATAATTTTTAACACCTGGATAATTTACACAAATGCTTACAATTATTGTTTATTTTGCTGGTTTCCTAATACACAGTTTTGCACTGTGAACATGGTGAATATATACGAAGCATATGAAGTGATCTTATCCTGTTAATGGATACTGCTTTCATAATTTCGGCCATTTTGTCGCGATATTGTTTATCATTTTACGCACCGTCGACCGCTCATTAAGCTTCAAGCCGAGAGAGAGAGAGAGTTATTGGCGCCTTGAAAATAGCCGTCGAGGGAAGCGCCGCGGTAGCCAATCAGACGCCACCGTGTGTCTGGACTGGTTTGCGTTTAGAGAGGGGCGGCCATTGGGGTTGCCATGGAAGCCAGAATTGGCATAGTTTCGCTTGTTCGTTATCCCCAGGGTCGTTTTGACAGGCAAATCCAAAGAGACGTGGCTCTACAGCATGTACGGTACGTGCCACGTGTAATGTTTTGACGCGTGCAGTTTAGGTTGTCATGGTTACTTCAGATACATCGGTTTATTATTTTTTTATGTAAAGATCTTTTATACAGTGAGATTTGAGCGTTGATGTGTCCTTTTTGGCAAAATATTTTTTAACATGTCTTGTACAACACATGCATACACAGATGTAAATTTGTGCTGCCTATACTATGTAAAAATTGAAAAAGGAGGAATGACTGTGTGAAACAATGCATTTGAAATGTGTGTTTGTTTACTGTATGGTCAGATGGTCTGTCTGCTGCATGCTTTCATTTGTAATGAGTGAAAGCTATTAAATAATTGTAAATTGCTAAAATATCGATTTGTTTTCGTTCATCTGTAATCCCACTCATGTACAAAAGTATGCTTCAGTCTGCTTGAAGTTGAACAAAAAGTGGTTCTTCTTGTTCATTTTTGTTAAAGTAATACAGCACCTTTGAAACATCGTACAATGTATTCATGTACATATGTATGTATGTTATTAGCATTCATGAGATATAAATGTACAATTCAAAGTTTGAATGTACATGTACCGTACCTTAAAGCCCGAGTCCATCATTTGCAGCTATCAAAAAAAGTAACTGGCGTAATTCTTGTTGAAAAACATACTGGTTGAAAGATAGTAAGGGGACTAAACTCCCTGTGAAATTAATCTTTCTGGCAAGCTATCATTTTGAAGTAATCAACGAAAGAAGGCCTTTCCAACGGTGCGTCTTAAGACGCACCGTAGGAAATTTAAATTAGTAGTTCATTTTGTTATTCGGCGCAGAACGCGCAAGCATTGGCACGACGCACAGGCGCGCGCGGTTGCTATAATTCGTCGGATCAGTGCGCGACATCGCGTATAGCTGCAATTCAAAACAATTCAAAACATGATTCAGCAACTTTTGATTTGAAATTGAGATCCTAGAATGCTGTTTTTCTCGGAATATACAGCTGAAGCTGAGCTGAAACTTCATCAGGTTAGTTGTTCAGTATCCTTCATTAGATTTTGAGCACTTTTGTTGCTTCAAACGAACAAAATGCACAAATTACAAATGATGGACTATATGTTTAATCCTCCTATGCAAAAATACATTCTGTGCCAAGTTGTCCTTGCAGTATACATTTGTACAGCAAGATACTGCACCAACTGCCATAGTGATGCCCTACATGTACTTTGATAGTATGCGTTCAAACATGTATTAATGTATGCGCTATTTGCACACATTTGCATGCACATCAGCACATGCCCATGTTCATATACGGGGTAACACCATTGATTTTATCCCCCTCCTATCATGAAGCAATTCATGTCAACACAATGAAAACAGAGCCAGTCCCCAGTCTGCAGGTAGGTACATGTACGGTAGATGCCTGCTTTCCAAACAATAAGGAATTGATTTTCTGCTTTCCCTTAAATTATTCTTTATAGTCACCGCTGCCCGGGCTCTGTCATTTAAAACCCAACACAATTAGTCAGGCTGAGAGGGGTTGTATTGCATTTGTCATGTTTGTGTTGATCCATCTTGAGTGGAATATAGGGGGAGTTTTCAATTGTCAATTTCATCATCAGTGCCTTGGTGTTCTGTGTTTTTGCGCGAGTCAGTTTTCATTAGTTTATTATTTCATATTATAATACCTGTATTACAACAAAGACACCGCAACACAAGGTTAAAGGGAAGATACAACATTTGCAAACATCAAAAAACGAAATGATCAAATTATCACGAAATACCTTACTGAATTGTTAGGGAGTGACAGTCTAAAGCATCCTGTAAAATGATCGTGGCTCCCGATGTGCTGACATTTTCAAGGAAAATTGTATTTTTCCAACGCTGGGCGGTCGACCAGCGTTGGAGAAAATTGGCTTTTTTTTTTCAAAAGCTGCTCAAAATTTAGTTATTCCGCATTTCCTTTGCATTTGATTACACACCTGTGGAGAGGTACAAGCCTGCTAGACTGATTCTCCGACCTTACAATTCCCCAAAGTCTATCAATTGCTCCGTTTCATCGTAAGTGGGCTCAGGGAACCAGACTACAAGAACATGATTGGTTTTCTTAGTTTTTCCAGCATACAAGCCTATTTGTTATAACATACTAATCCTCCAAATCCATTTATTTCTGAAAATTGCAGCAAGAGCAAATATTGTACATGTATGTACATTCCCTTTAAAGCAGGCAGAGTTTTTTCAGACTTTTTGAATCTGAGAGGAAGGCATTATCAGTGTAGAAAGAAATGCATCTTTCAGACATTTCATCCGATTTTCAGACTTTCTTTATTTAAATTGACAATCTCATCCATGGTACAGATGCATTCCCCGTGCTATTTTTGAGTGTCCCCACAAAAAAATAGATTTGTTTTTTTCAATTGCTATTTTCCTAGCATTATGAATGAGACGTCGAATGAAAAACTCCACCGACATTAAGTTTTTGGATTATTTCTTCCCCAAATTTGCATTATTGGCTGACAGACAATAATTTGGCTCTCGTAGGGCGGATTCATTTGTGCGCAAAACGAAAACCGTTTTGGAATACAGTAGTTTTTGTTTCCATTTAACACAAAATATACAAATTTGAAAATTTGGTAGGAGAAGTAAAATCATTTTTTTGAAGAGCACGGGATATGTAACTTTAGATGTATAAGGAATTTATCTGTATTCATATTTTTTGTTGGTGCACTTTGAAAATGTGTGTAAAGTGGGAATATCATCCATTGTAAGTTTACGCATTTCAATATTGTAAATATTCAGCACGTACAGTATGTTTATTTGAGATGGATTCACATACATGTAGCTGGTTCACTAACCCTAACCCTCCTCAATCCTCCAAAATCCTCCTTGTGGTTTTGGAGGATTGAGGCTAAATGGTATTTTTTTAGATAAGGATTTTGGAAGATTGAGGCTGAATGGTATTTTTTCAGATAAGGATTTTGGAGGATTGAGGCTGAATGGTATTTTTTTAGATAAGGATTTTGGAGGATTGAGGCTGAATGGTATTTTTGTAGATAAGGATTTTGGAGGATTGAGGCTGAATGGTACTTTTTTAGATAAGGATTTTGGAGGATTGAGGCTGAATGGTATTTTTTTCGATAAGGATTTTGGAGGATTGAGGCTGAATGGTATTTTTTCAGAAAAGGATTTCGGAGGATTGAGGCTGAATGGTATATTTCAGAAAAGGATTTTGGAGGATTGAGGCTGAATGGTATTGTTTTAGATAAGGATTTTGGAGGATTGAGGCTGAGTGGTATTTTTCAGAAAAGGATTTTGGAGGATTGAAGCTGAATGGTATCTGAGGCAGGACTGTCTGACAATTTTGAAGGATTGAGGGGCTGGGTACCCTTCATTTGAACATAAGTGCAACATTTTTGGATGAGGAGGATTTTGGAGGATTGAGGATGAATGCATTTTGAGGCAGGACTGTCTGAAAATTTTGAAGAATTTAGGCGCTGTTGTAAAATTTTGGAGGATTTTGGAGGATTGAGGATGGTTCCTAGCAAAAAGACCTAGGGGGTTAGGGCTAAAGTTACTTCTAACAATATTACAGGCATCAAGCAGACTTAAATTTAATTGATACCCAACCTGTTGTACCCAACCATTGTTGTGCACATGACATACTCCGCAAATTGATACAGAATGCTTACATTGTAATTAGAGTCAGAATTGTGTCTCTGTTTATACAGCGGTTCTGTGTACGCATTTTATTTAATGGCATCGTTATGCCCGAGGTACACAATAGGGCTGATTAAGTTTAATTGCAGTTGTCCTTGGATAAGTTGATCTCTCCTGAGATCCTTTGAATTATGCATGACTAATGATCTATAGAATAAAAAGTATGAATGGCTGCTTTGTACATAATGGATGTGTTCATTGTGTGCCTGAGATAAAGTGCACTTGTACATACTGTAAGCCTTACGTTACTTCTTACTCTATTTTCTACATTACAAAGTTCAATGTCATACAAAATAAGGTTTTATAGAATTGCTTTTGCTGTAAATTTCAGAAATTGGTGGATTTGGGGGTTAGACTTTTTGGCCCGAGGAACAGACTTTAACGTGCGCAGAGCCACATGAACAAATGTCTGCTATATCCTAGCATGCAAAGTTTATGCGACCCCGCACGCCAGGCAATCAGAGTTGACTTTAGAATCTGTGACGTCTTTTCAATCAGAAATGTGTTAGCTAAGGTTGTTGATTGGTCAATTTGGCTGCCGTGTTTTTATAAATCGGAGTCGACTTTAAAATCTCTGACGTCCTTTCGATCAGAAATGTGTTAGTCAAGCTGTTGATTGGTCAATTTGGCTTGCATGTTTAATTTATAAAACAACAACGGGTTGCGGAAGACCCGATAGAAGGCGCCCGCTGAGTGGTCAGAATCTCGAGGTCAAGACGCAGTGTTGTGCATCATTAATCGCCAAATCTGCACGAATATCATAGATGCTTGAATGCAATTAAGCGGCTTTTGTACTTAGACTAGTACAAACCCAGTGTGGGTGTGAACGGTTGGCTGGGACTTAGTTCCGCACAGGGTCAGCATGTGTTGATTTCACCACATGTAGGTGAGACAATAGTGTGAAAAGTCTGCCAGACTGTGGATTGTATTGATTCAATGGACCAAATTAATAATCAAAATGTGTCACGCCAATGTTGGCATATTGGTCTCCAGTGATTGCCATTTCAAGCCAACTCCTGGAGTTTCGGTGCTCCAAGAGTTAATGAATTGGACTGAGAAACTAATTTAAACACCAAAAAATCAAATTCAGATCTTGTAAAATTGTGTGCCATTTGTGTGTCTGTGTGAAGCTACCGGGGGTATAACATCTGGAAAAATGTTTGAATTGTTATATTTTTCTTGTCTCTTTGTTGCAGTTCTGTTAAAACACTGGGTCTGGGCCTTTACAAGCAATGGGACCTGGACCTGACTTTACATCCGCCAATGCTAGATTTTGGCGAACAGTAAGTAATATCCTATTTCATGCTTCAAAATCAAAATCACCTGTGGCGTTCAACATGCTGGCCTCAGGGGAGGAGGGAGGGGGGAATTTTGCATACATGTAAAAACAGTTTCATTTGTCATTGTTGCAAGTCTTGCATCATGCGTTCTGCTGCCTGACTTACAATGTATGACTTTTTCTCAGCTTTTTTTTTTCAGTTTGTTCAGTGGGACGTGCATGAGTCATGTGCACCAGTTCAGACATTTTCTTGTCCTTTGGCCCTAACTCCCTACTTAGTTTTGCTAAGTAGAAGCCCCTGCCGTCAACATCCATCACTCAGTCTGCTTCACATGATGCTTCTGGGCCGAAATCCATTGAAATCCACCACTGGTGCTGGTGGATTTTGATGGACTTGGTATACATGGCTTGTATGCCAAAATCCCTAAAAAATAGAGACGGAGGGATTTAAATGGAGTTGGTAAGGCCAGGGTTAACTACGCTGAACAAATGATCAAATTAAACACAAAAATTGTCAGAATTTAGCACTTTGCTCATTGAAATGTAAATCGTTCAAAGGATATTCAAAGGATATTCAAAGGATATTCTTGTGAACATTTATGTACATGCAGCAAATTGCGTTTATTATTACTAAATATAATTATTTATTTATTGATTTCTGGTAAAAAAAACCCAAGGATTCCCCACAAGAGCCCTAGGCACTGTAGCTCTCGCAAGCCTGAAGAAACCTGTAGAGAGAAGACAATGAGAAGAAATTACAGTTCTAGAGGTGGGAGGAAAACCTCAGAATGAATATTCTGGGGAAAACCCAAGGAATCAGGTAGGGACTGAAAACCCAACTGCATGCAGGCTGAGGCGGCATTCGAACCGGGTCACAGCGGTCGAAGGCGAGGAAAGAAGTGCTACGCCAACCCAATCCACATGCTGGCCAAAGTGGGATTCGAACCCGGGTCACAGCGGTGGAAGGCGAGGAAAGTACTGCTACGCCAACCTGGCTCCCCCTTTATTGATCAGAAAACTGTATGCATGTACATGTTTATATACACACAATGTACACCCATTTCATTCCAAATAAAAACATGAATATGTCTGAGATTCAGTTTTTGTTTTGTTGATTGCCAGTCATCCGTAAAGTGACCCAGACATGTTATGTACATGTACGTGCATGTATACATCATGTTCAAAGATTGGGCCTGGCCTTCCAAAGCCTGCCAAAATGTTTATTGTCTGGCGAACTTCTTTTTTTCAATGATGACTCAAAAATTTATTTAATACGTAAATTGAAATCACAAAGCAGAGGTTGTTATTGAATGCTTACTTGACTTCATTTTGCTTGTTATTGCAAAGTGGTTTGCAGTCGAGGCCCTGATACCAATATTAAATTGTTTTGTTAACTTTCCTTTATTTAATGCGATCAGATGCAAGTTGGCATCCTAGATTTTCTATGTTGTATGGCTGACATTTTTGAGGATTTCAAAAATATCCAAGAAAGGAGCTCTTAAAGGGAATGTACATCATTGGCTTTTGCTGTAATTTTCAGAAATGAACTATTTGAGGGGTTACTATAATAGATCAGATATTGTTACACTGACATGTTTGAAGTTTTGTGTTAGAAAAAAATGAAGAAAAACCAAGAAAAATACAAATGGTGGAGTAGTCTGGTTCCCTGACTCCACTAAAGATAAAATGGATCAATTTATAGATGCCGGAAAATTGTAAGGTAAGGGAACCAGTCTAGCTGGCCTGCACCCGTTCATTAACATGCAACCAATAGCAAAAAAAATGGGGAAAAATGGTTAATTTGAAGCAGTAATTGAAAAATAGTTCGGTTTTTCCAACGGTGGTCGGCCGACCACCATTGGAAATTTATACAAAAATACCATTTTCTTGAAAATGACTTCACACCAGGTGCCATAATTTTACAGGCTGCTTTAGACTGTCATTTACCAACATCATAGTAAGGTATTTTGAAAAAACTTGGTAGTTTTATTTTCGATGTTTGCAAATGTATATTCCCTTTAAAAGAAGACCAAGAAAGTAACGTTGGTCCCACAGCCAGAAATGTTATCAATAGATCTTATTCGCGTGGAAACCATTTCGATCGTGCTCCCTGATTCCAACATTAAACTGTTGAATGGGAGGGTGCCAGACTATTTTTTGATTGGAGTGCGTTCTAAGCCTCACGTTCAATTTTGTTTTTAATGTGGCTTAAAACATTAATTTGATCACAAATTTTCAATTATTCATCAGAGCAGACTGGTATTAATTTGTAATGAGCTTTTATTTCATTGCTTTCGTTTCTACTTGCAAGCTCCAAAAATGAAGCCAGTTTACCGTACCTCTCTTTCAATTTAATATGGCTGACTCGTGATGCAGAATGGCTTTTAAATGTCATTTTATGCCTCTTGGCTACACAATGAGCAGGTGTATTCATTGACGCTGTGGGTCCGTCCTATACGATAACACTGCCTGCTCACAAGTGACATTCAGTCAGTCAGTTAAAGATATAGTCCATCATTTGTAATTTGTGCATTTTGTTCGTTTGAAGCAACAAAAGTGTTCAAAATCTAATGAAGGATACTGAACAACTAACCTGATGAAGCTTTAGCTCAGCTTCAGCTGTACATGTATATTCCGAGAAAAACAGCATTCTAGGATCTCAATTTCAAATCAAAAGTTGCTGACTCATGTTTTGAATTGGGCCTGAATTCAGCGTCCGAGACACGTTCTCACTGAGCCCATTGCAGCTACGCGATGTCGCGCACTGATCCGACGAATTATAGCAACCGCGCGCGCCTGTGCATCGTGCCAATGCTGCGCCGAATAACAAAACAAACTACTAATTTAAATTTTCCTACGGTGCATCTTAAGACGCACTGTTGGAAAGGCCTTCTTTCGTTGATTACTTCAAAATGATAGCTTGCCAGAAAGATTAATTTCTCAGGAAGTTTAGTCCACTTACTATCTTTCAACCAAGTATGTTTTTCAACAATAATACGCCAGTTACTTTTTCGGATGGCTGCAAATGATGGACTATAGCTTTAATAGTCAGTCTGTCAGTGAGATACATGTTCACATGCAGTGAAATCTCCATAAAGTCAAACCTCAAGGGAACAGGTTCAAAATTTGACTTAAGCAGAGTTTTGAGTTAAGCAGGGTTGTATATCATTGTTGTACTACTGAAGGCAATGGATTTTTGTTTGACTTAACATTTGTTTCGAGTAAATCAGAGTTTGACTTATCGAGGTTTCACTGTACTGGGTAAAATCCCAAATTAACTGTATATTTTTTCCTTTTGACACGTTATTGTGTTATTTTTTTTCTTTCAGTGCGATTGGTATGCCTGAAATAGCAACGGTGCGAGTTTTCAATCCACACCCAGAAAACACATTGCGGATGCTCTCTATTTCGGGGAGCACGCCGCATTTCCATTGTTCGTTCTTTCAAGACAAGGTAAATACAATACTCTCACAACCTGTGAGCTTGTACGTGTTCTACATAACCCCCGAGGACAGACACACAAAGGGAGAACAACAGATCCTTTCAGTCCTCGGGAGTTGGGTCTTTTGTTGGAAACGGTCCTCTGTAGTAAGTTTGTGTGCTTAGTCTATGGGAGAGTATTATATTACAGGGACAAAGGGAAACACAAATCATTGTCCTCTGGAGTATAGTAAAACAAGAGTGTATGTGCCCAGATGTACAATGTATGCAGTGTTCAAGGTTACGTTCCCCACGCTTTTCTTTATCAAGTTTCATACCGAAAAATAAATTCCATTTCTAAATTGCTCTTTTTCTAGCAATTGATACAAAAGTAATTCAGTTTTGAATGAGACACCGACCAAAATAAATCGGACTATGTTTAAAGTATTGCTTTATACTTTCAAATTATTGCCTTCCAAAAAAAATTAAAAATTGCCCCATTTCTAAATGTTGTTGTTGTTCATTAATTTAAATTTAACCCCCCCTTTTTTTTTACCCCAAATGCAACGATCTCATTTTGTTATTCATTGGTTCCCCGCAGGTTGTTCCACCAGGAGGCAATACAACATTTGAAATTGTTTTCCTGCCCCGGGTACCAGGCAATGCTGAAAATACAATATTTATTCACACCAGCGCGGGGACCTGTCCATATCAGGTGAGTGCAATCTCAATCGGCCTCCTTTCCCGAAACATACATCACCATACATCTGAACGGTAATCCAGTCAGGGAAGAATAATTGCTTTTACACCTGTACACATGAATTGGGACACTCATGGAATGGTTTCACTGTTGAGTTCATAAATATCTGAGTCCAGCAAGTGCATGTACGTGTACTAAAATGTAATCATGTGTACGCCTGAAAAACTAGACAGTGTGATCTTATTATTAGTAGTACTTAGTATTACCTTCAACCAAAAAAGAAAATCCCCGTTCCAATACTTTTTTGTCTAACTCAAAAACTACTGAGCTCCTCTCGCTCAAATAATGACTCATCAGTACAGAAATTCCTTAGCAATCCAGCCATACTCTTTATTTGGCCCAAAACAGTGATAATGTGTACGAATTTATGTAATTTATGACAAATGGTACCGAAAACAGTTGCACTTTTGTATACGTGCAAGTTGTGGTTCACACTCACCTTGCAGGTATACAAAAATGCAACTTTTTTTGGTCATCAATTGCATAATTTTTAACACATTATCACTGTTTTTGGGTCAAACAAAGAGTATGGCTGGATTGCTAAGGAATTTCTGTACTGGTCAGTCGTAATTTGGCCAAGATGTGCCCAGTAGTTTTTGAGTTAGACAAAAAAAAAATAAGGGGGGACTTTCTTTTTTTGGTTGAGTGTATTATTTATTGTTTATTACATATATTTCTGGTAATGAAACCAAGGATTCCTGAAAAGCGCCCCGGGCACCGTAGCTCGTAAGCCTAAAAATCTGTAACCCTAACTTCTCCTAAAGCTACAAAATACTACAAGTAGTATAGTATGCAGTACTTCAGCATATAAGTGGGCACAGCACTCATAGTATTTTTTAGTATTTAGATACATCATTTTTGTAGTACTTTGTAGTATGTGGAACTTTACCCCCAAGTAAGTCTTAGGGGGTATGGAGTAGAGTGAAGACTACGAAAAAAGGGATTACAGTTTTAGACGTGGGAGGAAAACCCCAGAAGAATATTGTGAGGAAAACCCACGGAATCAGGTAGGGACTGAAAACCCAATCCACATGTGGTCTGGGTAGGAATCGAACCTGGCCATAGAGGTGGAGGGCGAGGAAAGAACCACTGGACCAACTTGACTCCCCAGAAAGAAGAAGAAAAAACAGAAGAAATAAAGGGGAGGTGACCTATGGGCCTTATTCACGAGTCGGCCATATTGGATTGAGAGTGAGTTAAAATCTTAATTTTTAGAACTTGTATAGAGAAATGAAAGCAACTTAATTAGGAATTAATTCCAGTCTGCTTAAATGAATACTGGTAATTGTAAATTTGTAATTAAACGTTCCCCAGTGCAAAAATAGTCTGGCGCCATCCCATTCAGCAGCCAAGAATTGATAATATATGTTCAGGGAACTCAACAAAAATGGCCAACTCGTGAATTAGGCCCACGTGGTACTGGTTTTAATACTGCTAGATCTGCTCCCCAAAACAGATAATAATAATTGAAAGCGCGAAATTTGCTATTTTGGGAAATATTCACATCCAGATCAAAGTGTGCAACCCACTGAAAATTTAAATGTTATTAAACACTGATATGTGTATTTTAAAACCATTAGTATATTTATATAAATTCAAAATGTGAGGAATTGCATATTTGTATCTATAGGCAAACATCTTCAGAGACAATAGAAATATTGCAAGTTGCATAAAAGGGTTCGTCATTAAACAGATTTTGTTACGAAACGCTCTGCCATTACACAAGCGATACTGATTTCATATCCGGCACCAATCTCTGAACCACAGCAATGCTTTACAAAGCGTACAATGGGCATCAAATCCACAGAGGATTGTTCCTCTTGTGGCCGGCAGTGCGGCAAAATAATCCATTCCATTATCCAAACCCAACAAAAAAAAAATTTCAAAAAAAATTTCTGATTAAATGATTTTCTTAAATTCACTAGAATCCTGAGTTTCACTGTATAGAAAGAAACTGTACACAGACCATATCTGAAATTAATTGCCCTGATGTAATGCTTATCCATTCAATAATTTGATCCGAATCCATAAAAAAAAAAAACCCTTAGAAATCCTTAGTCTCGTTGTCTAGAAACGACACCCGGCTCGGACCGTTTCGTCAAATTAATCGTCCTGACGTAAAGCAGTCATTTGTTGATTGGACGTCGTCGTCAGTTTTCCCGTTCAATTCACAAGAGAACGGTCTGATGGATACAAATCAATCCCGCATCTCATTTCCTGTCCATTAATACAATTCCTTAAAAGGATTGGTTGTTTTCACAGCAAAGAAGGGAAAAAAAAAAAAAACAAAACAAAAATGGATGGATGGAATTGTAGCTTTTTAGAAGATGCTTTCATCAAGATTTCAACAAACTGATTTTTATTAAAAAAAATAACTGCAATTTTGCCATATTTTACAAAACTGCATGTATTAATAAAGAAAAATCTTTTAAATTGCATAACCGCGCTCTTAAAAAAAAATTAATTTTGTTTTTTCTCCTAACAAATTTTCAATTTGTATGTTTTGTTTTAATGGAAAAAAACCTACTTTATTCCAAATTTTGGCATCTGCCACCTTCTGAAGAAGGGCTTATTTAAATATTTTCCTCACAAATGAATCTGCCTTGCAAGAGCCGAATTGTTGTCCGGCATCCAATAAGTCAAATTTTGCGAAGAAATAATTCAGTAAAAACAGTCGTTGATTCTTTTCGTTCAATGTCTAATTCAAAAGTGAATAACTTTTATATTGCTGGGGGGAAAAAAGAGCAGTTGAAAAAAAACCCCAAAATTTATTTATTTTTTTAGGTGAAACTCAAAAATAGCACGGAGAAGGCATCTGTAAATGCTAATGCAATGTTTTGATGTAGTCAAATACAATTTTGACAAATTTGAGAGGAGTGGAATTGTATTACATGTAGTATTGCTAACCGCAGGTTGTACGTCATAGCTTAGTTACGTCTTGACAATCATCTTGAGTAGGAGAAAAGAGAGAAAACACAAATTTGGAATTTAAGGATCTGTTCCCCAGAGAGTTCTTCAACTCTAAAGAAAAGAGAATATAGCAAACGACACAGAATTGAATTGAATTTTAGTTCTATACATTTCATTGCCCAAAAGGCAAAATAACAGATTTAAACTTCAGCAAGCTCTTAAAATTATTAACCCTAACAGAACTCAACCCATCAAACCCAAGCGGCATGTTTTGTTAGAATCTTTCAGGATGGGTACGGTACCCCTAAACTGACAGTCTTTTACATCGGGTTGGGCACACCTCCAGAATCAAAGTCAGAAATATATGTGTGTGCAGTTTCCCATATGGTGTTGAAATTTGCCAGGATGGGTATTGTTCCTAGTAAATCATGCTAGGGAGTTTGGGTTTAAGAATACAAAAACAAGCCACATTATGCATATTCAAAAATTCCAACTTGAATCTATAGTCAAAATAAAAATGAAAAAAGAAAAAAATCAAAAATCAAAAACTGGGGGTGTGGGAGAGAAATGGACACTTGAAAGGGGATGTGCTAGGTGTTTAAAAATCTCAATATGATAAAAGGGAATCAGACAGCTTTTAAGACCAGGTTGTTTTAAAATAATATTTTCCTAGTACTAGGGTAATTTTTTTCACTTATGATCTGTTAAGCTTCTAAGGAGAAACAAGAGTTACGAAAACTGTTATTTTTAGAGGCCGTCAGAAAAAGTGATACAAGATTTGTCCTGTGCATATTGTTGACCTCCTTTTCCTGTTTGCTGTCCCCTTTATCAGGTGAAGTTGTCTGATAAAATTAAGATAAGAACTGGTTTGCCTGACACGCAGTGCAAAATTTATAGGGTTTAAGCATATTTGAGCAGTGAAAGTGGGGTCAAGGATTGCAAAATGAAAATACTGTGGTCCATTAGACCGTCACCTTAAAATTACTCATGTAGATCAAACGACAAACAAAAAGGAATGGTACCGGAAGTTCGATGGTTATCATAAAAAAATAACAACGCTACCAAAATAACAACTATTAAAAAAGAACAACACCACAATGCAAGCAGGAAAAAAAACATGAAATGAAGAAATTAAATAGCTGCAGTACATGTAGGGTTAAAAAAAAGCAAAATACCAAGTATTAATTTACATGTCCATTTAATCAAGTTTCCTGTTGACAAATGACACATGTAATAGAGAATGTAATTCAAAGACACAATTCTTACAGCATGTAAGTGTTATTATTGTCATGATGCAAAAATAGATCAACCAAAAAATGAAAAAAATAAAATAATATTAACACGAAGAAAACATAGGGCCTACAACTTTAAAACATTTGGAAAAAATCCAACTTTAAAACTTTGCGATAGGCCGTGTATGCCCTAAGGATAGTGACCCAGACAGATTTTTCTGCTTAGAAAAGTTTAAAGTGCGATTACCCCCTCCCCCCCCCCCTCTCCCAAATTTCATTGGTCGACACATGAACAAGATGTGACAGCTTTACTGTGGCCGGGCCTGACAGTGTTTTGGGTGTCGCCGGGCGGAAGCCGTGGGCTTCCGTTGTCTAGAGCAAACTGAAGAACCGAGGAGGAAAAGTGGCATTTAATCAAGAACTAAGTTCTGGGCTTGACAGATTATGCAGGAAATCTGGGGTTTTCAAAGAGTGTAATGTGATGGATGTTTTGACTATCAGCTGTGACAAGCAGCATACACGAACCGTGCGTTTACACACCACAGCACAACACAGACACGTTAAAAATGATGTCACCAACTACATGTATTTTGCAGAAGATTTAATTATCCAAAATATCCCATTCTCAAACCACAAAAAATTACTGGAAATATTCCTGTTGAAAAGCTGATTTCATTAAGCAGCTAAGCCAACAAATTTAGGGTCCAAAGTGTGATATTTTTTTCCTTCCCCATTATCTCGGATCTTTGTAATTGAATGTGCCATTCAAGTATCATTGAGAACGACTTCAAATGGTTTGGCATTTGTTTGGTAGATAGTTTGCCGTTCATAATCACTGTTGGACGACGACCACATTATGGAGTGCATCATAATTATGGAATCAGAGATGTCGGATGTAACAGGCATGGGCGTCGCGAAGGGGGGGGGGGCAAGGGGGGGCGCTTGCCCTCCCCCCTGGAAAAGCAAAAAAAAAAAGAAGAAAAAAAAAGAGAAAAAAAGAAAAGAAAAAGAGGTGCGCGAGGGGGGGCCCTTGCCCTCCCCCCTGGAAAAGCCACCAAAAAAAACAAAAAAAAGGAAGGGAAAAAAAGAAAAAGAAAAGAAAAAGAGGTGCGAAGTCATGTTGGTGTGAATTTAATGAGTTGGGGGGGGGGGGGAATGTCCCTGCCCCCATCTAAAACTGAAAAATCGAGAGAAATACAAGAATTTTTTGGGAAAAATATGTTTTGCCCCCCTCTAGAAAAAATCCTGGCGACGCAAATGGTAACAGGGACAAAAAACAAAAGTGGACCCAAATTTATAGAATGACCCATTTATGTGTAAGTGCACTGTCTGATCATTGTGGCAAAAGCCCGACTGTACATACTCCTTCTCTTACTAACTGTGGATGTGTTGATTTGATCTGTTTGTTTCAGGTTTTTGGCGTTGGGGTGCCCAATCCTTACAGATTAAGGCCCTTCTTGGGGGCTAAGGTCCCCATCAACACCAGCTACTCCCCTCTCATCACCATGCACAACCCCTACAGCTCTGGGCTCATGGTAAGTTCCGCAGGAAGCTTTATACCACACTCTTGATAAGACCAAACACTGCCTCATTCTCTCTGAGAACAGCTAGTACGTTTCTGTCCAGATGACCTCTGACACAGAGTCAACTTGATGTCGGGTGCGTTCGAGTAGCTCACCCGGATCGACTCGAGTAAAGCCAGACGGCTTAGCAACCAGAGCTGGCTAATTGAACGCTCAACCGCGGGCCATCATGATCCACACTTGATGTCCTTGGCCACTGACAAAACGCCCGTCTCTGACTGGGTCTTACAATGTAGTCTGAGATTTACTGCTTTTCAGTCAATTGCAAGACTCAAAAAAGTTGGGCTGGATTTATAGCCTCTAAAAGTCGCAATGAACTCAATTTATTAATATTACCTCTAGACTTCAAATAAAGTTAATTTTGGGGTCCACTTGTGATTTCCGCTGTCTGGCCGCCATATTTGTCAGTTTCTTGGAATGACCAACGCATGCGTGTGACGTATTTCCACCAGTGACTCTGCTCCACGAGCAGGGTCTGTGGTGGCTGACCCGGGTGAGCCCTGAAAATGACGTCAGAGATAATCGAACGGTACAGGGTTAATCCGAGTCGATCCGGGTGAGCCGTGTACATTAACAGACATGAGCTTGACAAGTTGAGCTCCAGTGAAGGAAGAAGCATCTTGTTCATAACAACCACAGAAAACGAAGAAGCAGGGAAGGCGTTGCCTCTCCTCGTATCTGAGGTCGGGCCCCAGTCTACGTTTAAGTCTGATGGGCCCATATCATGATTAAGACCATCTCTTTAACCCTCCTAGTATTCTGCACTTCACAACCCTTCAAGTGAACCACTTTTGCCCCATAGAGTTAGCACCCACACTTCAAATTCCTTTGAGGTAATCTTCTGTGGAGTATGGATAACACTTCAAATCCCTGCTCAATTTGTTTTGTGTGGTTAAACTCAGGGCAAGCAAGCAGATTTGGTCACACTGTTTTTTTGTGTGTGCAGTGACTCTCTGTGACACAGGTACTGTAACACTTCACCTAAAAAACTGACCTGAAGGGTTTTAAAGGATTTATGTATTGCTCTGAAAAATGAGTTCCTCTAGGAGGATTAATTGAACTTGGGATGCATTCGCACTTAATGAAAACATTGCTGTATTCACTAGGGCTCTGTGTTTGATATGCACAAAACAATCATGAATGTTGGCAGCAATTTGCGTGAGTAAATCTTCCTCGCCTAATCCGATTCAAATGTATGAAGCAAAGTCATCAGTACCGGTGTTCCATATCACGAACCTCCATAAGTTATTTCCCTTTTCAGACTTGAGATTTCCGTTTCCAGAGGACTATTTCACATGTACTTAATATATTTCAATAAATGACATCCACTTTTGAAGTCATTCATCACTGCCATCGGTTTCCTTTTTTTTGTACTCAATTTTTTTTCTCCCTCGTTTTTTCCCCAAAGGTGACAGAGATGTATTCCAGCGGGGGCGAGTTACATCTAGAGTTACCCACAGGCTCACCGGACGCCCCGCAAAACCTATGGGTGAGTGAGTCTGGGAGGAAGTTTTGATGCTTGTCACGTTTTGATAAGACTGTTGGATGTCACCAAGGGACATACGGGTGGCTGGGGTCAGTGTTGCGGAGCTGCCAAGCATCGCAATTTGCTAAGCGCAAACAAGTTTTTGCTGAGCGAAAATTGGTCACCAGCTAAAACATAATACATTTTTGTATAGCTTGTGACCGGTACTCGGCTAATTTATGCTTAGCATGTAAATTTGTTAAGCAACTTCGCTGCTCAGATTTGGAATCACGAAACTGGCTCCATGTTTCTAATTGGCTTGTTTCCAATAATGATGTTATAAGGCGTGAGATAACCCAGTTTTATGCACACTGCGTAATCCTGACGAAAGCAAACTGTACCACCTGTCTACGTGTAGTCGTGATGTTTAAATTGTTGTCTTGCTGTACTGTGCAACCTATTTTTTTTTTTTTTTTTAAGTTCATTTCAGTCTGAAGAACTTATATTTTTGTAACTCTCAAGGACGATTAGAAACAAGAGTGATAGATTGTACAGAGTTTGCATTGAAAACATGATATCACTTAGGTTTTTTTGGGGGGCGGGGATTTTGTTTCTACGTCGTGTGATATTTCCTGAAGGCATTTTCAGAATATAAGTAAAGAGATTTTACACCTTTGAGGAATTTTTTTTCAAGATTTGTTTTTAAAGTCATTCATTGCAAATTAAAGTGTCAATTTCTCCCCATGTATCACTCTGCTGGCTTTGCCTGCCAAACACATTGGCTGATGAGTTTGATCAATTCGATTAAATTCACCGATTTTATATATTATGGACAGTTCAGAAAATATATTGCAGTAATTCTGTTGATTAGAAGAAATGATATAGATTTTGAGAACAACTCTGGACCCAATTTCATGGCTCTGCAAACCACGGAATTCCGTGCCGCTCACGATCGCCATTCTGTGCTAACAGCGCTAGCAGAAAAATTATGCGCTAACCCGGTAAGCACAGAATGCTTAGTAGTCAGGTGGCTTATGGTCGGAATTGTGACCGACTGGTCCAAAGCACCAAACTTGGCAGATAGATTCTTAGAGCCCTAGAGAAGATATTTAGAAGGGGTGACACCTGAAATTCTTTTGGAAGGGTGCCTAATTTGCACAAATCGTAAATAGTTTGATGTGTAATATATTTATTACCCTATTTTGGTATATATTTGTTATTTTTTTGTTGTTGAAAAGTCTGTTTTGGGGGTTCTGCGTACATACCGTATCCTTACTTAGATAACGTTTTCAGAAGCACATAAGTGACTGGATAATTATGAGGACATACTAGAGATCCAAAATGGCTACCATTATACCCTAAAGTTGCGCGCATTACTCTTTTCCCCAGATATCTAGTATGGGAATAAATACCGGTATATATTACACGGCAGCTATTTACAATTTATGAAAATTAGGTAACCCTTCCCAAAAGAATTTCAGATGTCACTCCTTCTAAATATCTTCTCTCAGGCTATAAGAATCTAGCTAAGTTTGGTGCTTTGGACCAGTCGGTCAAGATCTTGTCAAAAATTGGGTCTAAGTTGCCTGACTATAGTTATGGGATGTACGCATACATGTGCAAAATTCCAAATTCTTCACTAACCCGTGAAACATGCTAACCTTAAAGGGAATATACATGTACATCATTTGCTTTTGCTGTAATTTTCAGAAATGGATGGAATTGGGGGGTTGGGAATATATAGCAAATATAGTTACACTGACTTTTTTGAGGTTTTGGGTTCGAAAATGCTATAAAACCAAGAAAAACAATCATTTTCCTGTAGTCTGGTTCCCTGACTCCATATAAGAAGAAACAGAGCAGTTTACATACATTGGGGAATTGTAAGGTCAGGGAACCAGTCTAGCTGGCTTGTACCCGTTCATAGGTGTGTAATCGATTGCAAACAAGTGCGATGGTCAATTGGGGCCAGTATTTGAAAAAAAGCCAGTTTTTTCCAACGATGGTCGGCCGACCAGCATTGGAAATTGATACAAAAATACCACTTTTCTTGAAAATGACAGTATACCAGGAGCCATGATTTTACAGGATGCTTTACACTGTCATTCACTAATAGTCCAGCAAGGTATTTCAAAATGATTTGGTAGTTTTAATTTTTGATGTTTGCAAATGTTGTATTTTCCCTTTAAGCACATAATTTTTTGCGGCAATGACCAAAGATTTTTTTCACTAACGATAAACAGAGCCATGAAATTAGGCGCTGCTTCTATCAGCCATAGACATCCTGATTAATATATAGAATACGATATCGGCTCTCATCATATCTTACATTGTATGCAATCTGTCCTTAAGTAACTCGCTGATTGCCTCGGTGTATTGTGTGACAGCGCCAGGTGGTTTATCAATGGGCGTTTTGTTCCCTGATCAGACGCAGCGCTGGTAACTCCCTCACCAAAGACTCTTTCGGACCTTGACTGCATTCAAATGAAATTTTATCTGCGGCTCCTTTCTATCAAATTGGAAATGGAAGAATGTGTTGAAGCTTTTTTTTGGGGGGGGGGGAGAGATTGAGGCTGTATGCAATTTTTACTTGGAGATAGTTGGAGGATTTTGCAGGATTGAGGTTCCATCCTATAAAAAAAATGCCTACTGGTAGAGAGTTTGGGTTTAAAAAACTTTAAAGAATCGCAGTAACACTCTGACTTTTTGTTATTTTCCCAGTTGGTTAGCATAATTATACATGTATGTACAATGTATCTGTGCCATAAAAACCTTCAAAATTTTGGAGTTTTTCAAACAGACCTTTGGGAATTCTCACATCAACTTGAATTTCTGTCATCATTTGGTTTAATGTGTTCAAAGCTGGAAGAGTGCCTCGGCCGAATGAAACATTTCGTCTGATTCCAATTTCTCTTGGATTTGCACCAAGTCCAGCAGAGTATTGAGTAACAGGCTTGTGCGTGTGTTTATACTAAATGGAGGCTCCAGATACGTGCCATATGACCCGTCTGCACTTTGCAGTTTTCTAATGACATTTATACGTACCCTTGATTAACCTGCTCACTTTAGGTGCCAAAACACATTAGATCGGCAATGGTGAATGGATAAACAATATATCATGTATGGGATATACTCAACATTAGAGACACGTGTCACTACGACTGAGTGCAGTTGTATATTTACACATGTTCATGTATGTGACGCAGTTGTTATTCTTGGTTTGTACACGCAGTGGTCTGTATGATTGTAAATTGAGATTGAGTGAAGTCTCTCTGTGCTGTGTGTTTTAAAATATGTTTCTGTAATGTGTCGGCCTTCTTGTACTCTTCTATTGAACTGTACTGTATTCATTTTTTTTACAAAATTAGAAATCAGTGAACGTGCATTTAGTGATAAAACACTTTGAGAAAAACCACATTGTTGCTTGTTTATTCATTAACAAGTTTGCCCCGGGATTATTTTGACATTGATCGGACCCAGGCACTGGTTTGTTTTCACGAACCTCAATGCCAGACGGGTCCTGTTCCCCCGACATGCCTTTTACACAGGCTAGTCACCAACAGTCATATCATATTTCAAAAGGCTCTGTGACAGTCAAATTCCATCAACAGCCAAAAGCAGGTGTCTGGTGGGCACAGCTGGCTTATCAATCTCCTACAGTCAAAGCATAGCTATATCAGGTTTCATAACAATCGCAGCCAGTCAATCCTGCTTTATGAAGGCAGGCAGCACTCAACTGTTGAAGAAAACAGTCACTTGATTTATTTATGACTGCTGGGCTGGCCTGGTTGAAACTGCCAGCCAGAGAGGGAGGGTTAATTGATCCAATGCTTCATCTTTGTCTGAACTATCTGTGGGTCGGAGGTTTCCCCTATTCAAGATAAGTTCTTTATCTTCTTTGCTACAGGAGATTCCGCCTTACACGACGCGGTCGGTCATGAGGGCCAGCTTTACCGGACGGGTGGAGAGCAACCACACGGCGTTCATTCGCATCAAGACCAACCACAGCAAGCGACTCGACGAGGAGGAAAACGAATTGCTCATGCTGCCGGTGGAGGTGGAGGTCTCTTCAGGTATGTCTGCCCCTGGTTGTGTTTCTTATAGCTTATACGTGTAAATCAGGGCTAAGGATTGTGTGAAGAAGACTTGTTATCAGGTCGTCACAAATCAGGTTGTTGCAGTGGTTCTTTCCTCGCTTTCCACCTCATTGGCCTGGGTTCAATTCCCACCTACTGGTAGTTCCAAGTGTGGATTGGGTTTTTGGTTCCTAGCTTGGTTGGAACACTATTCCGAATTGGCTGTGGGTTTTTGGTTCCTAGCTTGGTTGGAACACTATTCAAAATTGGCTGTGGGTTTTTGGTTCCTAGCTTGGTTGGAACACTATTCAGAATTGGCTGTGGGTTTTTGGTTCCTAGCTTGGTTGGAACACTATTCAGAATTGGCTGTGGGTTTTTGGTTCCTAGCTTGGTTGGAACACTATTCAGAATTGGCTGTGGGTTTTTGGTTCCTAGCTTGGTTGAAACACTATTCAGAATAGGCTGTGGGTTTTTGGTTCCTAGCTTGGTTGGAACACTATTCAGAATTGGCTGTGGGTTTTTGGTTCCTAGCTTGGTTGGAACACTCTTCAGAATTGGCTGTGGGTTTTTGGTTCCTAGCTTGGTTGGAACACTATTCAGAATTGGCTGTGGGTTTTTGGTTCCTAGCTTGGTTGGAACACTATTCAGAATTGGCTGTGGGTTTTTGGTTCCTAGCTTGGTTGGAACACTATTCAGAATTGGTTGTGGGTTTTTGGTTCCTACCTTGGTTGGAACACTATTCAGAATTGGTTGTGGGTTTTTGGTTCCTAGCTTGGTTGGAACACTCTTCAGAATTGGCTGTGGGTTTTTGGTTCCTACCTTGGTTGGAACACTATTCAGAATTGGTTGTGGGTTTTTGGTTTCTAGCTTGGTTGGAACACTATTCAGAATTGGTTGTGAAGACTGGTAACTTCCTTTTGACTTGCCTTGTGATGGCCTTGACTACAACATCTGTCTCAAGATAAGTCTCAAATCAATGTGTTGATTTGTGGTCAGACCTGTGATTAGCCTTGTGATTGACTTGTGATTGACTGGATTACAATTTCTTCAATTAGGGAAAACTTTCTTTACGTTCATTGAAATGTTGGCGTATGGCACTGAACCGTAGCTCACAACGTGAAGTCCTAAATAAATGATTTTCAAATACAGTGAAATCTCGATAAGTCAAAACCTGTTAACTCAAAAAATCTTCTAACTGAAAGTAAAAACTTATTCCCATCAAGTGTTGTTGAATCGAAAAATCCATTGGCTAACTTAAAACTCTGCTTAACTCAAAATTTCAGTCAATTCCATTGAGGTTTGACTTATCGAGATTCCACTGTACGTTTACTACATTCACTGCCACTAATTTGTAACAGTATTTTGTACATGGGCAATTCCACGGTTACTCACGTTACATTTTTTATGTACTTTTGAGTTTCGTTGGGCTGTAATTACCTTACTGAAAAGGTTTAATAGCTGTTATCCCCATGGTAGATATAGTAGACCTAGACCTACCTAAGCACCAAAGATGACATCCAGAAAAATGTGTTATGAATGATAAACAATATGCACAAAATCGGTTACATTTTTGTAACGTGAGTAACCGATTTTGTGCGTCTTGTTTATCATACATAACCTTTTTTTTCTGGATGTCATCTTTGGTGCTTAGGTAGGTCTAGGTCTACTCTATCTACCATGGGGATAACAGTTATTTAACCTTTTCAGTATGGTAATTACAGCCCAACGAAACTCAAAAGTACATCAAAAATGTAACGTGAGTAACCGTGGAATTGCCCACATGCACATTTCATGAGTGTATAGTCATTTTACATGTGTTGGGTCATGATATTTGTTTTTCTTGGCACTGTGCCAACAAAAAGTCCATTGTTGAACACAGATCCTTCTTCTATTCAATTCTGAGTAGTGGTCCAAATTAAAAAAAAAACAGTAATGTTTTCATTTTTTTTCTCATCACAGCGCCTGGATTATATTCCTCATTAGAGATGTTAGACTTTGGAACGTTGAGGTCGTTAGATGCACCCAAGACACACCCTGTATATCTCCTAAACACAAGCCCTAAAAGTGTTCAAATTCTGGTGAGTATGCATGCGGTTGGGACTTGTTTCTTTATGTCATAGCCAAGAATATCACCATGTGCACATTGGTCATTTTAAATGGTCTACTTAATTTTAAGTGAGACGTTGGTTAGAAGCCAGTGAGAAGATAGTCAGAAACAAGTTAGAAGCTATTCAGGAACTAGTCAGCAGTTAGTTGGAAGCTAGTCGGAAGCTGGTCAGAAACTGGTCAAAAGCTAGGCTGAATTTAGTCAGAAGATGGGCAGATGCTAGTCAGAAGCTTGTCGGAAACTAGTCGGAAACTGGTCAGAAGCTGGGCAGAAGTTAGTCAGAAGCTGGGTAGAAGCTAGCCAGAAGCTAGTCAGAAGCTAGTCAGAAGCTAGTTGGAAGCAAGTCAGAAACTACATGTAGTCAGAAGTTAGTGAGGAGTTAGTGAGAAGTTAGTGAGAAGCTAGTTGCAAGCTAGTCAGAAGCTGGTCTGATGCTAGCTAGAAGCTGGTCTGAAACTGGTCAGAAGCTGGTTAAAAACTAGGCAGAAGTAAGTGAAAAGCTGGGCAGAAGCTGGTCAGAAGCTACTCAGAAGCTAGTTAGAAGCTAGTCGGAAGTTAGTCAGAAGGTGGTCAAGAGCTAGTTAGAAGCTGGTCAGAAGCTGGTCAAAAGCTAGGCAGAAGCTGGCCAAGAGCTAGTCAGAAGACACAAACCTATATTAGATGGCAACAAATTGTCTCACATATGGTGTCTGATCTCCTTTGGTACTTGCAGAGCATTACGCCGATGAGAGCCAACAACGCGCTGACGATTGATTTCAAGCCGTCGGTCCTCAAGCCCTCCTCGGACGCCCACACCAGGGTGGCAGAGGTCACGTTCCATCCTCTCAAGGCCAACACCTCCCGCCTGTGGTCGGGGAAGCTCATCGTCAAGACCAAGGACAAAAACCTCAAGCTTCAGATACCTTACCAGGCAAACGTTTTACAAGGGTGAGTCCAAGTCTGCACTGCAAATCTGCACACTAACAGGTGTTCTGCCAACAAGGATAACTTGGAAAGACGCGACTCTTTTTTTTTTAGCTCAAGACGGCAGATTTCTGATGGTGGCAGATTGATTTTTCCATTGGATACTTTTGTGTCCAAAGGAGCCTTTATCCTTTCTGCTAGATTTTGATTCTGAATACATAGCGTAAATTTTGCCGGAAACAAATAAAATGATGGAAAAAAATTGAAGTGAGACTTGAATCTGTTGGCTTGAGGTTGCATCACAGGTGTTCTACCAACAAAGATAGTTATCTTTGTCTCTGTGACATCAGGAGTACCTTAAATAGCCTCTTGTAGTTGTTGAAAGGGTCACATTTTCATTTGACAATTTCTCCCCTTTTTCTGTATCGTTGCAGGACCCTGAGTAGCGACCAGCAGAGCAAACTATTCTACCTAACCCCCAAACTAGTAGAGACAGGCGAGACGGTAGTCCGACCCGTAGCGCTTACAAACTATTTTAACTTTACGCTGGTCATTCATCAAGTCAGCTTTCCGGAGGACGTCAAAAATATTTTTAAGGTGAGCTTATTAATCTGACATATTGTCAGTCATTTCAGGCGTAGGAAACCAGAGATAAATGCCGGTCAGACAATATTGGCTTGTGACAGACTTCACTTACTCTTTGTTTTGACTTGCCTGATGACAGGTGACTGGTTTTGAGGAAGCGGTCGTCATCAAACCCCAGGAGACGGATTCCTCCCTTTCCATAGTCTTTTCCCCCAACGCGTCGACGACGTCACTGCTGACGTCCCTTCGACTGGGCAGCAACGCTTCGGTGTTCTCCATGGGGGTCCACGTCTACACGGGCAAACTACAGGTAGGCACAGCACAGCGAGTACACTCTCATGCATATTTATGATGGAGTTCTGGTTTCTGATCGGGTCAGATACTGAGGGGGCAAATGCAAGGGTAAATGCTGAGAAGGTATGACTTCAAAATGCATAACTTCCTCACAAAAACATGCCTCATGATCAGATCAGAGTATCAAGCTTTCATAAACTAGTGAGCAGGACGTTCCGGGTTCGAGTCCCAATTCGAGAATGCCCGTAAAATTGTAGTCAGAACTTAGCAGAACACAGTTCAAGTGAATGCACAGGGAAGTGCAAAATGTGGAAAACTGAAATTTCTGCTACAATTCTTTCTCTTTTTTTTGTTTCTTTGAAAAAAGCAATGTTTTCATTTCATGTAGATATCTTTTTTTAGCATTTTTTTCCGATTCAATTTATAATGAGACTGATTCTTGAAGGATATTTTAGGCTTGGCACAAAGTTAAAAAAGAAAAGTAAGACGAATTATTTAAAACAAAACCAATCCCTGCAAGGAAAGATTAACATCCATCATATTTTATCTACAGAATGTACAAGATAAACAGGATAAGCAAACAGGATTAGCAGCATTAGCAAAACCTAGCTCCTTTACACCTATGAAAATTTAGTAATTCTACGTGAACACGCAGTCATTTCATAAGATACATAAAGGATATCTGAATAGCGGTGTCTAATTGCACGCAGGAGTGCAAAAAGATATTCTATATCTGTGCTCCTCATTCGCATTGTACATCAATAGAGGTCTCATTTAGCCTGCATGACAGAGTCTTGAATTTCAAGACATTCAATAAGACATCGAATGGATAACACTGTAAGACGACTCAAGAGAGATGTCATATGATATTTGATCTAATTTTCCCTACCTTTTCTTTCTCTCTTTCTGGGTTGGGCTGTATGCAGTACTCTATACACAGCGTAGATGATAGAACCTTTGACTTTGGAGTCATGAGTGTTGGGGATCATCGCAGTATGCTTATCGCATTAGTCAACCCCAATCCCATAGATGTAAGTATTAGTCACGCACGTGATAGACAAAACACCAATCATTTTCAGACAAACTTCTAATAACTGCTTTTAAAGGGAAGATACAACATTGGCAAGCATCAACAAATAAAATGATCAAATTATCATGAAATACCTTACTGGATTGTTAGGGAATGACAGTCTTAAGTATTCTGTAAAATCGTGGCTCCTGGTGTGCTGATATTCTCAAGAAAATTTGTCTGCCGACCAGCGTTGGAGAAAACTGGTATTTTTTCAAAAACTGCTCCTAATTTTTCACATTTAGTTATTCCTCATTTTCTTTGCAATTGATTACACACCTGTGAAGGGGTACAAGCCTGCTAGAAATTCCCCAAAGTCTATAAGTCGCTCCGTTTCATCTTAAGTGGGGTCAGCGAACCAGCTACCAGAACATGGTTTGTTTTCTTGGTTTTTCCAGCATCTACAAGCCCAAAACGTGAAACAAGTCGGTTTAACATTATTTGCTATAACATAGTTATCCTCCAAATCCATTTATTTCTGAAAATTGCAGCAAAATCAAATGTTGTACATTCCCTTAAAAGCAGGCAAAGTTTTTTTCAGACTTTTTTTCAGAATATTTGCATCACTTTCATGTAACCTGGGGCACCCTTGGAAGGAACAGTTAATTGACAATTGAGGGGGCTACAGTGTTTTTTAATACACCAAAGGAGTTTTGGTGAATTTGGTAGAGAAAACAAACACTCGAGAGAACTTTTTAAGCTCTAAGCATCTGTCAGCAGTTTAATTTTGTATATCTTCATTCTTTTACGTGTGTTTTATATTTTAATTTTTGTTTCGGTGTGCATTCAGGTACCCATACAATCTTTCAGCTGCAATCTGGATGATTGCGAGGCTCAGGTTCTGGGCGTGGAGCCGGGGGACAGCAAACTCCTTGCCAAACAACACGACGCCTTCAGCATTAGGAGAAAATCTGTGAGTGAAGATATTGGTGCACAAAATGTCCCTCTAACCCCCTCCCCCCACCCCTTATGGTGACAAAGAGGCTTTTTGCACATTGAGACTAAAATTGGTCCCACCTACTTCACGTTATTCTCACCTGGCAAAGTACAAGCTACCGTCCTTGTTACTGGGGTGCGATTCTTCAGAATTTTTCCTGATTTCTGGATTTATTCTCATTTTAGGATTTTTAAAGATTCTTTTTAAGTTTGGAATCTCGGAGGTTTTTACCATGAAGTTGTGTTTACCTATCAAAGTTAAAATTCCATGTTATGAATAGTTGATGCGGTACCCACTGCTAAGTACATCAGATTCAAGCATTAGCCCATTAGCTCCGTGGTTGAGTGGTAAGACATCTGCACTAGAAAGCAGGAAGTCGTGGGTTCGAGTCCCAACGTGTGATTTTTTCCAACTTTCACTCTGGAGGTAACACACCGAGTATACAGTGTTTATACGTCGGTGAAGGGAAAACCCGATTTGATTTACACCACCCCGACGCAAAAATTCCATCTTATGAATAGTTAATGCGGTACCCGCTGCTATGTACATCAGATTTGAACCAGCCAACCGATCGCGTTAGCTCGGTGGTCGAGTGGTAAGATGTCTACACTAGAAAGCAGATTGCGTGGGTTCGAGTCCCACCCGAGTGATTTTTTCTCAGTTTCACTCGGGAGGCAACGCACTGAGTATACAGTGTTTACATGTCGGTGAAGAGCAAAACCAAATTTGATTTACATCACCCTGGCCCAAAATCCCATCTTAGGAAAGTTTAAATAGAACAAAATAAATTGTTCTTGTTAAAAGAAAACATAATGTATATCATAGACTCTGTGTTGCTTCTGGGGCCCTTGGTAATCCTCAAACCCTCTGCCGAGTATTTCTGGCATTTTCCATCTATTTTTACCATGTGAAAGGTTTTCCTGATGGCATCAAAAATGTAATAACTTCAATGATTTTTCCCTTGTTTCCTCAGTTGGTGATCACCGAGCACCATTTTGCAGTCCTTCGGCTGGAGGTCAAAGCCCCGCTCACTGAGGGACAGTTCCTGGGCGACGTGGTCATAGAGACGCCCCACGAGCGCCTGCCCATCTCAGCCAAGCTACGCACGGTGGAGGGATGCCTAGGGGTCAAGCCTGAACACATTATCCTCAGGCCTGCCTTTCCGGTTCGTAAAACAAATTCTTAGTTATTGTGTAAACTCTTGTGATTAATTACGTGGACAGCAGTCAAAATATGAAGCGTCACTAACGAGTGAGGGCCATATGAGCACCATTTCCATTGCAGTGTGCAAGTTGTGTATTGCCGTTGCACTGTGCAGGGTCCGTTCTTTCATTGAAACGTGGTGCTAGATTAGGCACATGCTGTTGAAAATCAATTTTGTGAACTCTGCCTCATTTGAATGCAATGTGCCCTTCCTTACCTCTTACGAGTAGAATACAAAAGGCCGCCTACAATTTAGGCATTTTTCTTTCAAAGTTGTAACTCTTAAAGAACTTAATAGACAATCATGTGATCCTTTTTTTGCCCTGTGAGGCTGTTTTTTCTTTTTTACAAATATAGGAGTTTGATAGATTCCTGTTTGAATGTGCAGTATAGCATTTTTGTATCAAATATCTTTTCATTAGTTTTTTTTTTTAAAGAAAAAAAGTACTTTCATAAAACGTAATTGAAACACTACTGAAAATTTTGCTGGCTGAATCTTAACCAGAGTTATAAAAGTTGAAGTAAATCTGAATAGAGTTGAAGCTACAATCCTGGCTAAATCTCGCTGGGCCCCCAACCTCCCAACCCCCGCTCAATGTTGTCTTTTATGATGCGGTGTGTGCTCCATCAGCTGGAGAGAACAACATTGACCGGGGGAGCGGGGAAGTGGGTGACCGTGGCAGGCTAAGGAAGTGTACCAACCGTTTTGGCCGGGATTGTAGGTTTGTAAATGACGAATCTAGGCATTACTCAGGTTTATAAAGGAGCAGGGGAGTGGAAGGCTAAGGAAGTATACCAACTGTTTTGGCCGGGATTGTAGGTTTGTAAATGACTAATCTACGCATTACTCAGGTTTATAATGGTTTAACACGATTTCTCTCGACGCAGGGCACCACGCAGTCGGCCAGCCTGACGCTGTTGAACAATTTCAGTCACCGCATGAAGTTAGAAAGCATTGTGCCGGACCCGCCGGACAAGAGGTTCTACCATCGACTGCCCAAGAAGACGCCCGTCATCGAGATCGAGCCGCATAAAAAACTGAAAGTGAGTAAGGATAGGCACTCCTTGGAGCTCCAGTGGAGGTGGAGGGACAAACCTCATGTGCGCGCTGGTATCCGCGAGAACGAAGCAAAGAACGCACAGTTTATTTGTGACCTGCTCCACAAAAAAGAGTATTAAGTCGCGCCGAGCATTATTGTGTAATGGTCTGCTCAACATTGAGAGGGTGAAAATGTGGTCAAAATGTGATTTTCATTTTTTGTCATGAGTGACATCTTTAATACCTACAGTTTCAGGTTTCATTCACAGAAATGTTGATTTTGATGAACAAGTGGAAAAAACAACTGTTTTGTGTGCATCGTTCTGTTGTTCTACAACAAAGTCAGCTATTTCAAAGACTGTTTTCACAGTTTTGTAATTTGACTCCAAGGAAGTAATTAATATGCAAACACGTCATGTCTCCAGAACGGGAGGGGCTATGGAGCTCAATTATAATACCAAATGAAATCTTACGTTGTGGGCTTTCCAACCATGTATATAACTCAATTTCATTTTTTTGCGACATAATACCCTTTTTTGTGGAGCCGGTCACATTTTATTCTCAATATGCGGTGACCTGTAGCATCACTGCGTGAGCGTCAGGCGGCGTCGGTGACGTATTGCAATATGACAAAGACATGGATTTCTACCGCTATGAAAATTTCAAAACCAAAATTTCATATCCAATTCTTGTGTTTGGAGTGGTATAAAACGACAATTTCTAAAAGTACCATATGTCGGTGTGTTGAATGGAAGAAAGTTGTCCATGTTGTAGAAATGCTTTTAAAACATTCAAGGATTGATTTTTACGTTTTTCAAAATTTCTAACCCACAGGTTGGGAGAATTGTTTTCGATCCCAAAGCAGCCTGCGGGGAGGAGGATTTGTGTTACGTAGGACTCTCCACCAAATCTCTAGGTAGGTACCCCACTTTTTAACAAAAAAGGCTTAATAATACTTATTTTTTTCATCAAGTTGTTAAAATTTGTAATTCAAAAGCACTCGGCTCTTTTAAGGGTTCGGTGAGTGGAGTGCTGTGGCCTCGTGGTTAAGGGCACTGATTCGCGGTCTGCAGGTAAAGCTGCAGGTTATGGGTTCGAGTCCAGCCTGGGGTCATGGTGCGTGTGCCCTTGGGCAAGGCACTTTGTCAATCAATGCTTCTTCCCACCTAGGAGTAAATGGGTACCTGTGAGGGCAGAGATGGTTATTGTGGTTGATTTAGCAGCTTTGCACCGAAATGGCAGCATGGAGCTGTATACTCCCCAGGGAGCTGAGATGGTGTTAGGAATGTTTCATGGGCCCAATGAGCAGGGTAATAATGATGTAGCGCCTTGAGCACCAGTCCTGGGGCCAATTTCATAGAGCTGCTTAAGCACAAAATTTGCTTAAGCACAAAAACGTCTTGCTTAATAAAATCATGTTACCGGCCAAAACTCCATGCGATTGTTATGCTAAGTAAACAACGGCTAAATACCAGTCACAAGCAATGTACATCACATGGAGTTTTGGCCGGTAACCTAATTTTACTAAGCAATGTTTTTTCGTGCTTAAGCAAATTTTGTGCTTAAGCAGCTCTATGAAATTGGGCCCTGGTGGATACGTGCACTTTATAAATACCGAATGTTACGATGTTTAAAATACTAACTTCAGTAAGACCACAAGGGGATGTTGACTTGGCTCACTTGTTATTAGTTTTCTTATGAAACAAAGGAAAATTTAACATTGATTTTATTAGTTTCTTGTGAATGAAAGAAAATTTACTATAATTGGATTCAAACCTGCAGCCCAATTTCATAGAGCTGCTTAAGCACAAAATTTGCTTAAGCACGAAAAAACATTGCTTAGTAAAATTAGGTTACCTGCCAAAACTCCATTCGATGTACATTGCTTGTGACTGGTATTTAGCGGTTGTTTACTTAGCATAACAATCGCATGTAGTTTTGGCCGGTAACCTGATTTCATTAAGCAAGTCGTTTTTGTGCTGAAGCAAATTTTGTGCTTAAGCAGCTCTATGAAATTGGCCCCTGTGCTTGGCAGTACTGTACTTTGGTTCTACCAAAAAAGTTGCCCATCCCTATGTTGGCTCTCTCCTGATAAGCCGTGTCAGAATAATGTGGCTATGGCAGGGGAAGAACACACGCACCTATGGAAACCGCTGGCTAGCGGCTGCAGCCACTTCCCATAGACGCATGTGTTATTGTTAGCCGTAGTCAAGTGATTCGGAAACGGCTACAAAGTAGTTTCTTTGCTTTGGGAGCGCTAGTCAGAAGCCATGTGCAGGCATGCAATTTTTCCTCGGATCTGCTGATTTCCTTGTTTTTTACTGCTGATGAATGCCATTACAAATTGAAAAACACTGTACAAAGTCTTGTGTGGTTTGGAATTTCCTCGTTTTTTTCTAAAGTCCCAGTTGCATGCCTGCATGTGGCAAGGGAATGTTCAAACTGACGAAACAACGGAACAGGGATGACTTTTGATTGACTTGTGATTACCTGGTAAAAACAGACGACTTGGTAACAACAGAGGCAGTGCGCAACTACTTTTTGAATTACTTGAAGTTTTTGACTATATCCCTGGTTTTTTCGTCACCCAACAGACGGGGAAGTGTGGCTGTCGTCATTAGCCCTTCCGGACGAGACACAGGACGTGGATAAGCTGTTTTACAACCACCTGCGCAACAGGTGGCAGAGCCTGGAACAAACGGGAAAAACTATGTAAGTAGCCAATCAAGAAGCAGGATGAAGTGTTTACCAAATCGTGGGTTTGTCTCCAGCTTTGGCTTTAGACTACTAGCTTTTAAGTCCTTAAGTTCAGAGATCGTGATTCACTATAGTCTCTATGCTATGAGTGCCACGTGGCAGGGCCTGGAACAAATGAAAAAACTGTGCAAGTGGTCAATTAAGAAATCAGGAAAGTGCTTATGAAATCGTGGGTTTGTCTCCAGCTTCGACTTCAGGCTACTAGCTTTTAGGCCCTTGAGTTTGGACTCTGGCTCACTACAGACAAGTATGCAACTGCAGGCAGAGCCATGCAAAGAGGGGAGGGATCAATTAAGAAATCAGGATTGTGCTTACGAAACCATGGGTTTGTCTCCAACTTTGACTTCAGTCTACTAGCTTTCAGGCCCTTGAGTTTGGTCTCTGGCTCACTACAGACAAGTATGCAACTGCAGGCAGAGCCATGCAAAGAGGGGTGGGTGTTTTCAAACCTCGGCTCTGCTTCAACTTTGCCTTCAGACTAATTGCTTTTTATAGGCCACTGACTTGGGAAACTCTGGCTAAATATAGACCAATTCTGTGAACCGGGAAACGTCAGATTATATGAAATGAGTAATACTTAATATTTAGAATCATGGCACACAAGGCAGTGTTCGTGTGACTGAATCTCAAGGGAGGCATGGGGGGGGGGGGGCTTGACCAAAAGTACGGTGTTCCATATGTGCCAACGGCGTTGCATTTTTCAGCTCTGACAGGGATCATTTTGATCAATTTCATGCAAGACTTTCATGCTAGAGCTTATTGTGCACTCGCACTTGTTTTTGTTTTTTTCAGTACAGCATTCACTTTTATTTGTTTTGTTATTTTACAGTTTTAACACTACAATGAAAGTGAACAGCAATCTGGTGAAGGATAAAGAGATACCGGTGACGGCAGTGTTGGAATGGCCGCGACTCATCCGCAAGGACAAGATTGAATTCCCCCTCACGTACATAGAAAACTCCAGTGTAAGTCACCAAGCTGTTCTGTCATGTTGTGAAATTGTAAAATCAAGTCTGTCCCAACATGGCTCAAAATGCCGATGCTTAGCTCAAGTTTTCTTGCTGTGTCCTTTTGGGAGTCCTCTAGTGGAGAGAGACGTCGAGATGAAGTGGCTTGGTATAGACTCGACATAGGGCCAGCAGCTGGATTCGAACCCCTGACCCTCTGTTCGTTAGACTGGCCGTGTTATCCCTACTCATTTAGAGTAGCCATTCAACTTAACCATTGTGGTTTAAATTTATTCTTATAATAATCTTAACCTCCTATTTCGGTATACTTGGGGACTCCAGCAAGTACTCACCAAAAGCGTTGCTGAAAATAAAGGCAAATGCAGGGGACCTTCATGTTGCCTGTTGATAGATGTTGACGTCATTATTATCCGGCAATACATCTTTCGGATCCTGCTTTTAAATAAGATGTCTGGGCAAGTCCAAGAATTGGTGCACGCTATGTCCCATACTTAACGAAATTTAACCTCAGTTATTCCTGGGTTTCAGTGGGTTTTTTTGTTCTATTGTCAGCATCTGCAAGTACAATGCCCACAATTTTTTTAATTTTCTTAGCCTTTGCAATGATTATGTAATTAAAAAAAACGTGGCATTACGTACGTAACAATAAGTGGACCTTTTCTTGGACTTTGCCCCTCTTTGTTCAACTTAATACTTGACTTTTTGTGCCTCTATTTCCGCAGATATCCGAGGTACAGATACTCAACCCATCAGACACCATCATTTTAGTTCAGCTTCTGCCCATAGCGCTTTATCAAGACCCCACTTCAGTACTAGATTTTTTGACAGACAGGTAGGTGCCTCATTTGAGCTGCTGAAATTTCTTAAGTTCTTTTTTAAACTATTGAATTATTCAAAGCAGGCGTATGTCTTTTGTTTGTGTTGCACAACACTTAAATGCGGCAAAAAATACCAGATATTTTTGAAATATTCTAAAAATACTTATTAATTACTTCTGGAGGCCAGCTCATTCTTAAAAGTTAACACAAGTAGCAAGCAGTGTTGAAGTCGAGGTACATATGTGCTGGAGTGTCCCAGAATTTAAATGTGTCAACCCATTATCAAGTGTATTTCAATGTATTACATTGTATATATTCCTTGATGAATCCATAACACCATATAGAGTAGCCTACCGAAGTGAATACATCACACGCACACTTATTTGTGTAAAAGACATTAGTGCGCGATTCAGCCCGTGAACCAACACGCGCGCGCACTCCATTCGTTTGCACTTCACTTCCCGGTTCTAAATGACGTCACACTTCGGTACTCTATAGTTCTGGGGTGGTTTAGGGCGGTATAAGGCAGTCACAGGTAGGACAGAAGGCAGTGCAGTTTGCCCAGTACACAAGAACCAGTGGGTTAAACCTATGCAAACTTCACAGCCCAAATACTTGCCATTACATCGCTATTAAAATCCCGTTCAACTTATTTTGTGGCCAAGTATAAACCAACTTAAAAAACCACCCATTCCACCAATCATCATTGTCGGTTTTGAGGCCGTTGTCCAGTCTGTTCTGGGTTGGCCTGCTTTCTCCCTATGGCTCTCCTCCACTTGGCCCTGTCCGTCGCATCCCTCGCATTGACTCCAAGCAGTCGCATGTCATCTGACACGGAGCTCTGCCACGTCTTGCCCTGTCGGCCCACGGGTGTGGGCCCACCAGCGACTACTTTGGTACACCTCTTGACCCAGCTGGCATCGTCCTTTCTCTCCACGTGACCAAACCACCTCAGCCTGTGCCTCCTCAACACAATACCGATCCCCTCCACTCCAACCCTCCTCCTCAACTACTCACTTGACAGCCTTTCAGCTAGAAAAACCCTCCCCCTCAGACACCCCCCAACAATGCGAAGTAAATTTTCCTGAATGCAGTGTTCTGTAATACCCGTTGTTCCTTCCCCCTTCTCTATCTTCAGGTTTGATACAGATAAGATAGAAACAGAAGACTCTGGTGTTTTCTTCTTGGCTAACAGTACAGACAAGGTGAGTTGTTGTCAACATTTCAGCCCCCAAAATACCCCTATGGAAGAAAACAGTTCGCCTTTTCCCCAGAATAAATCGGCACCGTTTGACCATAACTTGCTCACTTGTTAACGAGGATCACGTTCTTAACCCTCCTACCCTAGCTGACAAATTGCATAAAGCGTGCATACAAAAATCAATCAAGCAGCTGTTTTTAACTGTTACGAACACAGTGCCCACAAAAAAAGCAGGGAAATTGGGGAAAACACAGAAATCAGGGAAAACTCTTGGAGTTTTTGACCTAGAAGGGAAAGCTTTGCCAGTTTGGCAATGTGCATCTTGTGCCATGTGTCCAAGTGGCGTCTGTTGACTGACTGGTAATATAACTGTAAGGGGTGAAAGGAGGCCATCACTTGTCAGCAAGTGGTCTACGTATTATCAGTATCTTAGTTGCTTTGCTGCAACCACCTCTTGACTTCCCAGCAACTTTGTTGAAAAAACATTTTCGCAGATTTCATGAAAATATTTCTCATATTTTGTGAAAATATTTCTCAAATTTCGTGAAAATAGTTCTCGTGGAATCACTGGAATTTCTCAGGGAAATATCAGGGAAAACTTAGGAAATTTTGTTTTCGTAAAGTGCTGAGAACCCTGTTTATTGGTCTACTTTGTAATTTTTGTTTTATTCAGGATTCATCAGGAAAGTGCCTTAAAAATTCTTCGTGTGGTGCGATAGAGGACGCCTTTGGCGTGAAACCCAACAGGACCGCGCTGACGGTCGCCATCAAGCCGCACCAGAACGTCACCGTGGCCATCGGCTTCAAACCCAGCGACGGCCGCGAGCGAATCTCGCTCATACTCATCAGGTCAGCTGATTTTAAAAAAATTGCATATCCATTGTGAAAAATTTAGAGTGTTTTTGTTCTATTAGTACATGTCTGAAGCTGTAAACCCATTCTTGTCATGTGGCCAGTGATTGTCCAAACTCACGATTTTTGAAGCAGAGTTGCAATTTAAGATAACTTAAGAATTTTGTTACTCATAAGATGGAATTTTGATTCGGGGTGATGTAAATCAAATTAGTATTTGCCCTTCACCGACTTATAAACACTGTATACTCAGTGTGTAACCTCCCGAGTGAAAGTTGGAAAAAATCACTTGGGTGGGACTCGAACCCACGACCTCCTGCTGTCTAGTGCAGACGTTTTACCACCGAGCTTACGGGATCGGTTGTCTGGTTCGAATCTGCTGTAGATAGCAGCGGGTACCGCACTTAACTATTCATAATTTTGCTTAAACGAATTGCGGTTTTAGCCAGCAATTTTAAAAAGATTAAAAATTATTGATGTCTGTGAATAAGTCTTGAAGTTGGAGCGTCCAAATTTCCTACAAGTATTCATACTTCATATCAACAAGAAGAACAAGAAGAACTGATGGATGTTTGTTTATAAAGACTTCTATTGATTTGTTGTTTTTCTGTACAGGAACAATCTGACCATTCTGGATGGGTTCATGGTCAGGGGCCGGGGGGCCCGGGGCGAGCTGAGGTTCAACAGCAAGATGCCCAGCCCCAACAGCAACTTACTCTTTGAGCTCAAACCCACGCATCTGGAAGACTGCGATAGTAAGTAGTCTATTCTTCAGTGCAGTGCTCAAAGTTTTGTAATTTCCCAAATCCGATGCATCTTGGAAGAAAAAAAAAGGCTGAACAATAATGTTGGCAATGATTACCAGTAACGTTTGTGAAATGTTTATAAATGTTAGTATCTAAAATCAGCATTTAGTTAGCCACAAGACTCAAAAACATTTTTGATTGTCTTGAAAAAATTAATTTTCCATGCACGTTTTTGCTGGAAACATTCTCAAACTCCAAAAGTCCTCAACATGATATTTGCCGATGCTAGTATCTGAAATCGGTATGTAGCAAGCCACAAGACTCAAAAATATTAGTCACGAAAAAATTAACATTCCATTTTGCTGGAAACATCCTCAAAACTCCCCAAATCCTACATATCACACTTAAACAAAATTGTGACGTAAAGCCACACGTGAAGTAATAGTGGCTGTCTGCACAGGCCTGTGTCTGTCCAAATGCTGCAAAAACCAGATTTTTGCATTTTTGCTGCATGCAAAGGGCCAGCTAACTGTCCTTTGACTGACTGAATCACTGAGAATAATTAATTTCCTGAACTGCCTAAACGGCTGTAAAAGATTCTTGTCCAACTCAGCTAGTCAAGTTGAAGTTGGTTTATCTGATCTAGAGTATAAAGGGCTTTTAAATTTGTCTACAGGCTTGCAAGTTTTTCGCAAATGAGCTGATTTTCTCGTTATTCACTGCACACTTGTGTCATTAACCATAACCTTCCAAAATCCTCCAAAATCATCTTTGCAAAATGGAGAAAATTTCAGGAATGAGGCTATTTGGCAAAAATGTGTGGCTGAATTTGGAGGATGCACTGTGTCAAGGTCTTGGGCCGGACCTTGTGTCGTTTATCCTCAGCCCTGCATAAATTCAGGCCTGGATTATACTTGAAATCCTCCGCACTGCTCCAGGATGTCACTGGCTCTGCCTCAACATATTGACAGTGATTGCTGGAAGATTTTGCAGAATTGAGGTAGTGGTCACCCCTCCAAGGACAGCATTCAAGAAATAACAGATGATTTTGGAGGATTGAGGCTCTTAGCAAGTTTTACATGGAGGCAGTTGGAGGATTTTGCGGGATTGAGGTAGCATCCAAGCAAAAATACCTAAGGAGTTGGGGTTAAATATTGAAAAACACTGCATGAACTCTTTTGTTTACTTCCCAGTTGCATACCTAAGAATAATAACATCTCATGTCCTCCTTTTTTTTGCTCCAGGATCCTCCCCGAAAGCCAGGGTTCCCCCCAACTTTACCGTGAAGCGCTCCTTCACACTGAAAAACACCGGCCAGCTGCCGATCCACATTAAAAGTTTTAGCATCAACGGGTACGACTGCAACGGCTACGGCTTCAAAGTGCTGCAGTGCAGGCCCATGGAGCTGGTGCCCAACGAAACCAAACGATTGGATATAGCGTAAGTTTGAATCGTTTTCAAAAAAACAAAAGCCACTTATCCATACTGAGCCCTTCACATTTGAGACTGGGTGACGTCAAAGACCATTATCATGTTGCGGCCATCTTGATTTTTTCCCCATTCAATTCAACATAACCAAAGCGAGGCTGGAAGGAAAAAAAGTCTGGTTCCTTTTTGCACAAATAACATTATCATTCGGTACTGTTATTGGATACAGGGAACATGACTGAAATGGTGGCAGCATGATAAAGGTCTGTTACCCCTGATGGTCCAGCCAGTAACTACCTCAGAAATTTTGCGAATTGATGTTGACACACTTAAATTTTGAATATTTATTGTACATATTCGCGTCGTTTAACTTATGATGTTGGACTTCACCTTGTCCCACATGACTCACCTTAATTCCTTCACATCCCTGAATTATCACCCCCTATGGTCGAGCCAGTAACTGTTTCCGGCAACCACACATTATTACATTGATATTGCTTATTTTTGAAACGGTTTTATGCCTGACTTCACCGTGTCCCGCATGACTCATCTTGAGTGCCTCACGTTTATTACCCACCGATAGTGCAGCCAATAACTATTTCCAGTACTTACTCAAAATTATCCCTTTTTTTCAGTATATGCCCGGCTTTACCATGTCCAACAGGACTCATTTCATGTTCTTTACCTCCCTGAAAAGTTAACATTATAGGCCTTTATCATGCTGCCACCATTTCAGTCATGTTCCCTGTATCTAATAACAGTACTGAATGATAATTTTTTTGTGCAAAAAGGAACCAGACTATTTTTCCTTCCAGCCTCGCTTTGGTTACGTTGATTTGAATGGGAAAAATAGAGATGGCCGCAATATGATAATGGTCTATTCCCCCCCCCCCTAATTGTTGGGCAACTGTTTCCAGTGACCGTGCGAAATTATTATGTAGTTATTTTCTCTTTCTTTTTGAAATAGTTTTACGCCGGACTTCACCATGTCCCGCATCACGCGCCAGCTCAAGGTCCTGACCTACAACCAGGAGGAGCTGGAGTACACCTTGATCGCCACCCTGCCGCCCCACATGCTGGCCGTCTGCTCGGCCGCCTTGCCCCGCCCCCAATGGGAGCACCTCCTGTACATCATCTCCGTCATCCTGATGGGCATCCTGTTCCTGGGCATCCTGACGGCGTCGTACTTGGAAGCCCTGCGCCTGACCGAGCCCATGGCGGTGCAGGTCACCTCGGAGGAGAACGGGGAAGTCAGCAAGCACAAGCGATTCGACCTGCGCAACATCGCCTCGGGGATCAAGATTGGTGGAGGAGGGGGCGGGGCCAGTGGGGGAGGAGGAGCAGCAAAGCCCAGGTAAGGAACTACTTAAAAGTTATTTGGCATAAGACAATAACCAAGGTTAACGATTTTATATAGCGCACATCTCTTTGAGCTCCTCTGCCCAGTCCAGAGGAGACAAAAATGTGGAATGGGAATCGCCGAATTAAAACCAAAGACATTACACATTGACTATCTAGCTGAATGAAGTATTCATTTGATGACAAAATCTCTGAAGAAAAATATGATAAATCTCAGAAGTATGTAATTTAGCTGCTATTTATAATACGTGCTGGTTGGTACATGTATGTTGTGTAATGTGATTGCATAACTGCGTTAAATGGTGCCAATCTCTTGTGTGTACCAAGGTATTGCACAGTTGCCTTTGCAATTTGTTGCACAGTATAGTTTAGGATTGCCTTGTTAATCATGTCTCAATGAAGTGGAATTAAAATGTCGATTTTTTTGGCTTATCATCTTTTGCAGTTCAACCAGCAGTGTTCTTTCAACCCTCGGTGAGAAGTTATCCTTCCGACCGAAGCGTTCCTCCTCCCCCGCCACGTCATCAAGGGGCGCCCCCGCCGCCGTGGCCAACAACACCCGGCACTCGGAGCCCAAGACCCAATCGGAGCGGCGACTCTCCCCGGACAAGGACAAAGTCAAGGTCAACAGCTGGGCCAACGGCTACGCCAGCAACCCGGCCAAGCAGAGCAACGCGTTAAACGCCTCCAACAGCTCCACCCCGTCCCCAAGCGAGGCGGCACCGAGCCGCAAAGCCAGCAAAGGGCGGCGCCGCCCGGCCGACCCGGAATGGAGCGGCAGCAACAGCGATTACACCGGCAACCCCGTTAAAGAGAACAATAACAGACACCCGAGTTACCCCTCCACCCCGTCCTTCGTTGAGGACATCTCGCCGGCCACGGTCCAGGACCCGCCGGCCAGCGAAAACCTAGACCCAGATACAAGCGTGCATAAATTAGCCCGAAACAGCAAGCGTAAATCGAACCGACCGACTGCGACATCAACATCTTCAACCAAACGTGACGAACAGGACAAGAAGGCGACCGGGAGCAAGCGGAAGGAGGAGATGATGCGGGAGGATCGCGACGATTCCTCCTCCATCTCCACCGAGTGCTCCAATCCCGAATCTGAGCCATCGGACAAGAGCGGCAAACAGGTAAGGAGATATGAAACATCCTTTGATCAATGTTGACCAAAGGTATTAATAGCGAGACGGGTGTTTGCCGCGTCCAAGACACTTGGCTATGGCTTGCAAGTGCTCATGAGTCTGTGAAAACAGCTGTAGGCACTTCCTTTGTGTGTTATTGCTTTCAGTGGCATTGTATTTGGGCAACATAGTTTGTTTGTCCAGTGTTTAAATTCAAGGGAAATTTGAACTTCCAATTTTTCATATGTTGACTAGAAACAGAAACCCCTGGTGTGGACTTGGCCAAAGAAACACTTTTGATTTAAGCCTTGACAAAAAAAACCAGCCACAATCAGGCACTCCCACTGAGTAATGGATGTATTGGTTTTGACTAAGTGTCCAGCACCCGATTTCATGAATTTCATCATAACTTACGATGCATCGTAGGACGCATCGCAGGACGCATCGCAAGTCCCGACGTGTCACAGCGCTTCTTGAAATCGGGTGCTGTACCGCAAGTCATCCAGTCTCAAGTCAAGTTACAAGATGTTCAAATGAAATGGGATAAAGGCATTCTGTTGTCCTTATTCATTTCATGAGTTATTTGTTTCATTCATTTCTGACTTGTGATTGACTGGCAACTGACTCGCAACTGGCTTGCAAATGGCTTGTGACTAACTCGTGAATGACTCTGGACTGTCTCGCGACTGGCTTGTGACTGTCTCGCGACTGGCTTGCGACTGACTTGCGACTGACTTGCGACTGACTCGCGACTGACTCAGGACTGAGTCGCGACTGAATTGCCAATGACTCGCGACTGCCCGACGACTGGCTCACGACTGGCATGCTACTGACTCGCGACTGGCTCGCGACTGACTTGTGACTGACCTGATAGCAAATGACTCGATTACACCTCTGCTGCATACAAGTTGGTCATTCTATAAATTCGGAATCCACATTGTATGTCTCTGTTCCTGTTGCATCTGCCACGTAAGATTTTATAATTTTGGATGCACTCCTTCATGCTTTCTTTCGTAATTTTATTTTTGGACTTGCAGGTGGAAGCTTAATTTCTATGCTTTATAGCTCGGATAATTATCTTGAAGTTGAATTTGAATTCTTAGTGAGTAATTGTGAAAACTAAGCCAACTACCTTTCCAACAAATAATAAAAATAGTTTGAATTTATTTTTTAAAGAAACTTGAATGACAATTTTCGAAGTTCAGAGGCAACAGGGACAGGAAAAATGTCACACTTTATAGACCCTTATAGAATGACCCGAAAGAGTTGTGAAAGTTTCTCAACAAGAGTCCATTTCTCCCCTTTTCTAGACTTTCCAGCCAGCTGACGGAGAGCCCACTTGGACCTCTCACAAGTCCAAGAGCAAGGCCCCGTCCTCAGGCGGCATGGGTCTGGACGACTTCAAGTTTGAGGACGTCAAGAGCCGCAACAAGCCGCGTAAAAATGCCAAACTGGACCCTTTCTACGGCGACGTGACCAGGCCAAGGTAAGAATGGCTTCTCTCTTCTGTAGTGTTTTGAGGGACTTGCGTATTAATTTTATTAAGATTTGTTTTAATCATTTCAATAGCTAACAGTGGCAAACTGAAAATGTCAGGCTGATTGAGGGTCCCTTTAAACTGCCCCAGTGAAAACTCGATAAGGCAAATCTCAAGGGAATGGATATATATTTCGAGATATTGGAGGTTCAAGTTAGGCAAAGTTCCCAATTTTTCTACGATCACGTACAAATTATGCATATGTACAATTTACTTGACTGGCTTTGAAGTTTCACCGTAACTCGCTATGCCTGACACGTTATTTTGCTCACTGTCCTTCTGTTTATTGATTTTAAATATGAATTGTTTTTGCAATCACAAATCATTTTGCTCAGATTGTATATTTTTCTTACCTAAAAGTGCTTGCTCTATGGATAAATATAACAATAAACCACTCAAACTGTTTAACTTCTTGGCAAATCTTTATTTCATGTTGTTTTTCGATGTCTAATCTGTAAACGATTCCGGAGCACCACGCTCAGCTGGGTTTTCCCGATGTGTGGTCTCGTGACCAGTCTTACTTGATCGATTGAGGGGGCGCTATTGTTGTAAGCTGAAGCAAGCTGGGCCAGCCGCAGTAGCGATCAGGCTAACCCAAAAGCCTAGAAGAATCTTTGTCTGAGAAAGCTGAAACAGCTCAAAATGTAACTTGGTGAAATAAGCGGTATATCTTTTATAGAGTTATTCCAGATTGCTTCATGTGAAGATGTGTTAATTGTTTTCCGCAGCACTTTGGAGTTACCCTACGTGCCGCACAGTGAGGCAGGCCGGCGTGTGAAGCAGAACTCCAAGGAGCCTACCTCTCCGCACTCCATCGCTGCCAAGATTGCCGCTAAGGCGACCAAGAAGGCATTGAAGACGGCCAAACCCGAACAAGGTATGCTGATTAACTAACACCCAAGTAATACAGTGTGTCATTCAAAGACAACAAGAGAGAAAAATCCAGTACTTGATTTGGGCCTTTTATATTTGATTCCACAAGATACGTGATTTGGCCGCACCACACTCATGTTATAAATGCATATGCATATCATCTAAATCTCACATTAGCTGAACTTGAAATCTGTCTAAAAATTGGAAAGAATGTAGTATCCAGACACCACTTCAGCAGTTGTGTACAAAGTCTATTAGGCCATCGGCCTTGTTCCAAAGTTTTGCCCACAGGTAACAAATGAGGGGAATAATCGTCATAGTGATTTTTGGCAAGGTATACACCTCCAGAGTTGGAAAATATGTGATAGCATTGTAGCGGTGGCAGCTTTTTGGGTGTTATCACCCTTTTTTTCAAAATGTCCATCAAAATGCTTGTTACCACTCTAGGGGCGGTATACCGTGCGCATGCGCACTAAAATCATTGATGCCCTGATTTGATACTGGCAAAAACCCCAGGCTGATGGCCTATATGGAGAGTCAAGAATATTTCCTTTAACAATATTGGAAATGTTTATCAGTCCCAGATTTGTGGCTTTTCAACATTTGTGCAATGCCTGACCTTCATTGAGATGATATATGATGAAAAAGTGGCGTCAGGATGCAACACTCTTTCTCTAAAATCCTTCAAAACACTGTAGGAGCATTTTGGAGGTTTTTTGCATAGTGGAAGATTTTGGGAGTTCAGGAAAGTTCAAGGCCAAATTGCCGTGAAGTCAGACTAATGGCAAATACCTTGCTGTGATAAAGCTGCATGCTGTGCTGGGGCCTATTTCACCGCATTTCTTCACGGTATTAAAGCCGAACATTCAACAAAAAATTGAAAGCATATTTTACGGTATTCAAATGCAAAAGTCGCAGGCATGGAGATTTTGTTGCGTTGCTGTTCCAAGCAAATTCTGCCTCAGCTAGATTGTAATGATCTTACTTCATTGTGGTCTGATGGTCAATGAAGTTGCTGGAGGTTTTGCAAGCCGAAAGTTTTGGCAGCATCATGAAATTGGGTGCCAATGTCTGAATAAAGTGATTCAGACATTAGAGCGCTTAGAGCATTAGAGCTCTTGAGTATTTAGAGCTCAATGAGCTTTCCTCTTTCTCGACAGCGACCAAATCGACGGACGGTGCCAGCGAGACGGCCAGCACCCCAAGCAGCGAGGTGGACAAAGACTCCCCTCCGCCTCTGTGGGAGCAGGCCAAGCCCATGCCCAGCAGCCAGGGCCGACAGCTGCCCGTCCAGGCCAAGCATCCGGACCAGCCAGCCACCGGCACCAACAACAACAACCAGAGGAGCAAGGGGTCCAAGAACTCCAGCTCCAAGTCCAGTCAGTTCCCGGAATCCTCATCCGCTGCCGCAGCGGCGGCGAATGCCGGCGGCAGGCCAAGCAGCTACAGCAAGGCAGTGGCCGGAGCGGTGACCGGTCAGGGGTCCGAGACCACCCCACCGGCTCCCGAGGAGGGCATCAAGAAGCCCAAACTGGTCAAGACCAAGTCCATGCCGGAGAAGACGTCGGCGTTCACTGCCGTGGGTGACAACACTGGCCATCCAGGTAAATACATCACCACCCTCGAACAGTTGTTTGTCCGTGAACTGCACGTCAAGGCGTCATCTTTCACAAAATTAATTACGTTAATGAGACCGAATTAAAACAATGCACCAGTGATGTCAAGCCAGTATGCATGTTTACTTTCTCTAGGGGACAACTAATTCAAGATGTATAGAAGTCTTTAAGTATCTTTGAGCATTTATATAACGTTTTACCCCCAAAAAGATGCAAGTAGTTCACATTTACCAATTTGTGAATGACGAAGGCTGTCAATGTTTTCGTTCACAGCGAATTCATTTGAACTTAAAGCGTGTTTGGATCTGTGTGCTTGGGCACATTCCTAAGTATTTGCAAATGTTTGGATAACAAAAATCATCAAATTTTTGTATGTTACTATTTCTTTCGTTTTGAAGTCAGTGTGATCAATTGACTAGGGAAAAAAAAGTTTATTGTCAGCCAGGAATAGAACCAACACCAAGATACAATATTTGAAATCCAAATATTATCCAAAAGTTCCTGTTTCTCTTCGTGAAGTTGACAATAATAATAGCACCAAAATCTTCATTTTTTTATCTTCAAAGGAACTATTGGCAGCAAGGGAATGTCCCAGAAGACCAAGACCTGGCCCTGGCCCGGCCAGCCCGGCCAGCCGGAGGTGTTCGACAGTACCTCTGACACGAGCAGCACTGCATCCACCGGTCCCAGCAGGTAAGCAGATATACTCAATTATCCTAACCGTTTTCCATTGCCAAGTAAACAAACTTGCCAAGCTTAGAACAAAATTGCTTAGTCCATTATGAAAAGAAGATTGGTAGTTTACTGCACTAGTTTACTGGATTTGGGGCAAAACAATTTATATTATTGGACTAATAATGGCGATCGTGTAGTTACGGGCCCCTCTTTAGTTTCGATCAAATTAGAGGCAAGGGTGTTTTTTTATCATTCAAAAATTACCTTTTCAACCTAAAGCAGACTTCTCTCAATTCTAATGACACTTTTTTTCTTAATTTTGAACAGTTTCTTGGGGTAGAAATTATGATTTCCGTGCACGGTTTAAGGTTGGTGCCGTTCACGGTACATTGCTGTGATCTCTATCTGTGTTTTCGTGTTGCATTTTTCTTAATGTCGCCAACCAGTTTGTTTAGTCAAATAAATTCAAAGTGAATTTTGTTCTCTTGTAGGGAGCTGGGCCCATTACTATACGATCGCCTTAACAATAGTTGTATAGAATTTACCCTAACTGCCTAGGCCCTTTTTTTTGGCTAAAAACTATCCTCATTCCTGCAAGTCCTCCAATTGCTACTATGTAAAAATTGGATTCAGCCTCAATCCCCCAAAATCATCCATTATTTCTTGAATTTATACAATGGAGTGGTGACGACTACCTCAATCCTTCAAAATCCTCCAACAATCATTGTAAGATGTTGAGGCAATGCCAATGATATCCAGAAGCAGTGCGGATGGCGTCCAGTATAATCTAGACCTCAATTATGCATGGCTGAACATAAACAATGCAGGATAAAGCCCACAACCTCGACATAATGCAACCTCCAAAATCAACCGACAATTTTTGCCATTCATTGTAATATCATTGTAATATGTTGAGGCAGTGCCAATGATATCCAGAAGCAGTGTGGATGGTGTCCAGTATAATCTAGACCTCAATTATGCATGGTTGAACATAAACAATGCAGGTTACAGCCTACAAACTCGACACAATGCATTCTCCACAATCAATTGACACTTTTTTAGCCTTTCAGCCTCAATCCTCCAAAATCCTCCAAAATTGCCTTGTTGATTTTGGAGGATGGATGGAAGTTAGGGTGAATACAGTTGTTAAACTCATTGTTTTGGGTGTATTTTATTGTAACGTTTATGTTCAGCATGCCCAGTGCCCCCGACACTTTTTTTTTGTCATTCAGCCTTAATCCTCCAAAATCCTCCAAAACTGCCTGGTTGATTTTGGAGGATGGAGGAAGGTTCGGATGAATACAGTTGTTAAGAAAAATTGTTAAACTCTTTTTTTTTGGGTGTGTTTTATTGTTACGTTTCCAGCCCTGGTATGTTCAGCATGCCCAGTGCCCCCCAACCGGAGATCAAGAAACCCATGTCTGCTGACAGCTACTCCAACGCATCCTCCAAGTTCCCGTTCGCCAACCAAGGTCAGTGGGTTTGGCAATCCGAAAAGTGTCTTCTTGAACCTTTGCGTAAATACGCCCTCAACAGTTTAAAGAGCTCAGCAATAATTATTGTCATTACCTCTGCTGCTTTATGGGTGGGACACATACATTTCGCTGGTTGACGCGCGCGCACCGTTCCTTGTGTGTGACGCACCTACACCAGGGGATTTCTACTACGTACACGCAGTGGCCGCGCTTCGCGGCAAAATACTGCAGTGAGGAAAGATGGCGTCGTTCGGTCATCCCCAACTGTACTTTCTTTGCCGGTGAGGGGGTACTTGTGAACGGAGCGGATAGAGAGCTGTAGTTCAGTGGTCTGATGCATTGAACATAAAATCTTGTGGGTTCATTGTTGTTGGTTGGTTGGTTGGTTTGTCTGTTAACAAGATAACACGTTTTGTCTGTTAACAAGATGGCTTGTGGGTAAAGTGCTCGCCTCTTACCAAGGTGACCTTGGTTCGAATCCTGGCCGCGGAACGCATGTGAGTAGAGTTGTGCGTTGATTCTCTCCTGTGCCACAAGGGTTTTTCTCCAGGCCCTCCAGTTTTCCTCCCTCCGGAAAAATCAAACACTTTCGATCTCAGGCTGTGCTCCGTGGTCATATATGGGTCGATGTGGCCGGCAGCCATAGGCGCCTTTACGCGCCAGCGGCCCGAAAACGTTGTAGCCACGTCCTTCGCAATTCAGCATACCAGCTGCAAGTAAGGATGATTAGCCTCCCAAATTATTATTATTATTATTATTTTTGTGTTTACATTCGCAGGCAACAATTTCCCCTCCAACTTGTGGGACAACAACATGAGGGAGCCACGCATGGACCTACCGCCACCGCCTCCCATGTCCAGCTACAATCACCCCAGGGAGGCTCAGCAGCCTAGGGCCCAGACCATCAAGGGTAAGCACCTCAGAGCTGCTAACCTAAAAACAAAAACTGCTAAGCAATTTTTTGTGCAAATCAAGACAACTGCTGTGGCCCAGGTCCAAATTGTACGCGCTACATGAGACTTTGGCTAGGAACCGCTTTTTATGCTAAGCTAATATTTTCTGTGCTTAAGTTATGACATTTCTGTGCTGAGCAGGTTTGTGAAATTAGCGTCTGGTCAAAGAGCTTGGGATTGGGAACAAGCATGCAATTTTTCCTCGGATCAGCTGATTTCCTCGTTTTTTCACTTCACACTTATGCCATTTAAAATTGAAAAACACTGTACAAAGTCTTTTAAAGATTGGAGTTTCCTCTTTTTTTCCCACTCCCAAGTTGCATGGCTGATGGAAGCGGCTGCAGCCACTGCCCATAGATCCGTGTGTTATTTCTAGCCGTAGCCAGGTCATTCGGACACGGCTTTCCATAACAAAATTATCGTTGAAAAAACTTACTCGGTTGAAAGATAGTAAAGGCACTAAAAACTCCCTGCGAAATTATTCTTTATGGCATGCTGTCATTTTGAAGAAAACAATACATGAAGGCCTTTTCCAATGATGTGTCTGGTGACACATTTTTGGAAATTTCGGTTAGCAGTTGGTTTGTAATTCGGCGTATCCTTGTATGGGTGCGCGCAAGCATTGACAGAATGCTCACACATGCGCGCTTGCTCTCATTTGTCAGTTCAGCGCGTGACATCGCGTAGCTCCATTGGGCTGAGTGAGAGGGTATCCCGGAAGCTGATTTCGGGCAGAATTCAAAACATGACACTGCACCTTTGGAATTGAAACCAAGATCTTGGAATATTGTTTTCTCAGAACGCACCTTTTAGTCCAGATGAGGAGTTTTGTGAAAGTGATCTGAATATGGACTGCACAAGAACGCCCTCAATGGTGATAGAAGGGTTGGGTAGACTGTTTAATGCCATGGCTGCTGTATGCCTGGTGCTGAGGCGAAGACATCACAAGCTTGTGCTTAGTCAGGATAAAATAAGTCATGCATGCTTGGCAGGAATGAGGGTCCCATACTCTGTAGCTCTTGCGAGTTGTCACATAACACCATCTACTGTTCATGCATCGCTTACGTCCATCTGATCCATGGCTAGTATAAATTCGAGGTCTGGATGAGATAATGCAGTTTTTTTCGTTTGGCCTTGCAGGTACCATCGGGGACTGGCTGGGCGTCGGTGCCGTGGGTATGCCCAGCACCAGCAACAGCCTGTGGCAGCACGCACCATCCTACAACGACGCTGGCTGGTCTACCGAGACTGGCTCCCCACGATCACCGGCACAAGCGGTAAGCTAAGACCCACAAGGCCTGAAACAGTCTTGCAGATTTAAATACAATACAGCTTTGTCTATTAGCAGCGTGAAGTGGGTTGCTGGTTTGACAGTCCCCCAAGGGCAAATGCCAATATAAAATGCGCGTCTCCCTGACGCAAATTCCATCTTACAGAAAACCTAGACAAAAGCTTAGGACAAGAGATTTGGCCTAATTTATCATCAAAGCGGTAGCATAAGATTGAAGCTAAAACATATAAGAACACAACAAACACTTTAATTTGAGCCTTTGAATGGCGGTGAGTACAATTTCAGAGTGGTTTAGCGATACATCATGAGAAGTGACTTTGTCTAAAAGAGAGTTGATTGTGAGAAGTACTAGAGACATTGGATATTTCTCAATAAAGTTAGGGATGTCACATACTGTAGACCACTTCTGCATTTCATTGAAGTTTCTGCGGGCTCATTATGATCGGAGCAAAAACTCAAGCGGTTTTTCCTGCTTAAGGTCGAAAATTTACATAATAGTGGCCTACTGTCACAGATGAGTCCAGACTTGTTATGAACTTGTGATGTGACAATACTGGTGTACACCAGCCTCAACATTTAAATTTGAAAGAGTTTGTACTTTTGTAAAAAACTACCATCAGTTTTTACCTTCACACTTTGGAACTCACCCTTACCCACCTCCCGCCCTTCTCAGACCAATTTCTACCCGGCTACCAGCAACCCCTGGAGCTTTGAGGAACTGCCCATGCCCCCCTCGGTGGCCCCCCAGTCGCCCACCTCCAGCTGGAACAGCAGCAGTGAGCTGTTCCCGTCCTCCATCTGGAGCAACCCCAGCAGCACCAACACCTCCCTGCTGGACACCACCCCGCCCATCATGACCACCCAGGAGTCACAGGTAAGTCGCCCAAAGGGGGCTGGCTAAGTACTTTTTTTCGAGTACCAAGTACTGCCAAGTACTTAGCTTATTGAGTACGAGTACGAGTACTTGTAATTCCGAGTACAAATTCAGGTCTCCAAGTACGAGTACCTTTGCTTCTGAGTACGAATACGAGTACTTGTATTCCGAGTTCGAGTACGAGTACTTCCGAGTACGAGTACGAATACAAGTACTTCTATTTCCGAATACGGCCATGCGGCAAATGGTTCATTGTGCGTAATTGGCCCAGGCCCAGTCGGACCGATATATACAGACCCACTCACGGTTAGCTGTTAAATGTGTTTGCCCGGAGAAAAATCAGGGAACTTTGATTTCTCTGGAAGCCAATCAACCATTTCCAACTGAAAGTATCGATAATAAAATAAGGCCGTGGTAAGTCAAGCTATACCATTTTTTTTTTTCGAGTACTGCTATTCGAGTACGAGTGCTTTGATGATCGAGTACAATTTCGACATGTCAAGTACGAGTACTTTGCTGCCCGAGTACGAGTACTGTTATTTTGAGTACGAGTACTTTGACATTCGAGTACGAGTACGAGTACTCAAAAAAAAAAGTAGTACTCGAGTACGAGTACCGAGTAGGAGTACTACAACACTGCCCAAAGGGTGGCTGGCTAAGGTCCCAATAATTTCCTTGCGCTGTGTCCGAAATAGGTCTTCAAAGTTACCTCTACGTCTGTTGTCATCATACTATTTATAGGAAGGGAAGGATGTCAGTATGTTCTCCACGCTGTTGCAGTGGTTGAAGACTAGGCAATTAATACTAAAATATTGATCTTTAAATATGAGTGAAGAAAAAATGATTGCACATGCATATTTTGTCTCTGAGATATGCTAGTTTAAAAATTTCCTGTGCCAAACCTGTTTGTCCACAGATGACTTTATTCAATCTGCTTGACTGAGCTCAGGAGCTTGATTTGAAGACAAAAAACACTACACTAGACTTACATGTGGACAACAGTGATTTAAGTTACTTTTATTCAAATTAGCATAATAACACTACTCTTGCGATTTAAAAAAAAATTGTTTTCACCACTTATGGTTGAAGAGCTACACTTCACTACATTATTTTAAAAAACAAAAAACAGGTCAAAAATGTTCAGTAAGTAGGTTAATATTCCTGTCAAAAGTGGGTTTCCTTCTTTTTGCACCACCCTGTATATTAAGAGTAAAGGAACATTTTTCTTGTCTTTGTTTAGAAACTAAATCTCATATTTAAATCTTTTTTTTTTTTATACAGAGTAGTGGACAGATTTGGTAAAGGTTTAATTTAGTCTGGTTGTTACGCTGATTGTTCCCTTAATTTTTTACCATCAGAGAAAATGTACAGAACTTGCACGCAGCCGTCAAAAAAACCCTCTTTCCTGTTATTTATCAGTAGTCACACACAATACCAGGAACGTAAAAAAAAAGGAAAGCATTCCAAAAAATGGTCTAGGATAATTGTTATTTCCTACTTTGAAACAGGAAAGCTATATTTAAACTTTGTTTTTTAGCTGCGGGATAGCAGCTCAGCAAATCATCATGTCTCTCCGTTAGTGCTCCTACATATTCTGACTGATTTCAACCAAACTTTGTCAATAGTATCAGTAGCCCAGCCCCAGCATGTCTCATGACCAAACTGGGGTCAAAGTAATCATGGGGTCACTGGGAACAAAAGCCTGTTTTTTTTTACACCAAACACTACTCCTTCCAAAAATAACATGGCACAATAAGGTGACTCATACACGAACTCAAATTCGTAGACCCGTAGCTTCAGAGATATTTTTGCATTCTTTCATCTTCCTACAATTGTTTTCCTTCTGTCACTTTCCTCAACCAGTTCACGCCGGGAATATTTAGACAAGAATGGAACGAGGCGCGGGATTACTTTTCACTCGACCTCAAGCCAGGCGGGTTGAAGCCATCACCCTCAGGCAGCACACTCATATTTCTGGCCTCGCTCGCTGAGAGTGGGTCGCTGACAGATTTTTTTCAGCCTTGCTGCCTTCGTGTTTTTTGTCATCCATTCCAAATACGGCAAAACCTTTGCGTGTACATGTATACACGTCATCCAGCACGAAGTGTTTAATTAAAAAAAAAAAATCCTTCAGGTTCTTGCACTTAATTTTTTTTTTAATTTTTTTGGTTTTTGTTTCTTGCAGTTTTCCCCATTCAGCAGTTTCCGCAGCCTGTGGGGCAACACCTTCTCAGGGGTGGGCAACGGCGGATCCTCCTGGAGTACCGGACACAACGACCATAAACAGTAAATTCTACCTGAAATAAATGTACAGCCATCACCATATAACATAGTGAAATATAGGGCATTGCAGCGGCAGTTTTTATAGTGAACTCAAAACGCAGTTTAATAAATTGTGATCCAGGGGCATACTTTTTAACTCATTATTTTTCTAATTGAACCAGGCCATCCAACCTGTGAGCATTTTGTGATGTGATCAGTGACAAAAAAAACAACTGAGCAACTTACACTGAAATGTATGAAATGTATTGTAAAACAAAACGTTTACACTTTTTGGAGGCATGTTGACATTTTTTAAAGATAATTATTCATAAACTACAAGATGTTGGAGGTATTATGGTAAAAACGGCAATGAAAATAAAGCTCAAGTGAAGAAAAAGCAGCCATTTACATACAACTCTATACAAACTGTTCAAAAACTGTCCACACAGTACATAAGTCTATGGCAGTCTTGTAGACCCAATTGCGTTATTGTACATCTTTGTGCATGCAGTGCTATTGTGTTGACCATATCTCAGTGACTTGCGTGTGGACAAACTTGTTTTTGACCATCGTCTGAAAAAGTGTCATTTTTTTTTGAACCACTCTGTATTGACTAACTTGAAATCATAAAAGAAAGAAATCATCATTTGTAATTTTTTGAGTTTCATCTGTAGATTTTTTAACAAGTGCAAATTCTATGAAAACACCTGCTTTACATGAACTTCTGTAGCGGGCTATTCCAAATTTTTTAAAGCAGTTTTTATCAGAATCATTCAACGATCCTCCCATATCTATTTTTGATAACTGATTCGAAGCCAAGTCTCGGAATTCCATTCCCATGTCCCATCAGATGGCAATTGGCCAATTTTAACAATACAAATGAAACAAAAAAATGTTTTTCCCTAATGTATACAATTGAATGGTCATTTTAAAAGATTTTTAACTGTAAAATAAGAATTCCTTACATTTCATGACTGAATATTTTGAGTGGTTTTGGTCACAGTAAAAACTGTCGCTGCAATGGAACTATGAAATTTGACACAGAAGACTGTAAAACTCCCTTAGTCAGCTGTGGAAACAGTTGGAAACTATTTTGAAACTAATTATTCATACAAATTTTAATTATTCATTAACCCTAACCCCCTCGAGTGATTTACTAGGAACCTTCCTCACTCTTGCAAAATCCAACACCATGTAGTAAACTCGACACCCAAACTGTTGGACTCTGATTACGGTGGTATGCCTAACCCCATGTAAAGCATAATCAGTTTTACTAATGCAGTACTCACTCCAACAGATGCCAACAAAACTTGCAGTTGGATTTTGAAGGGTTGTGGTGGTTAGGTTAAATGTGTATTTGATAAAATTTCCTCTTTTTTGGGGGGGGGGGTGGTATTTTCAGACTCAACGAACGCAAACAATCTAGTGCAGTATCAAGCAGAAATAATTAGAAATTAATGCTACGTAATTGTACATATATAGCAATTCTCACTGTAATGCATAACCAGCAAGTACATGTAAAACAGAATATAAGAAGGTATCTTTCTTGAGAAATTGGAACAAATTTGCAAAACAAGCCTGATGCTTCCTCAAAAGCAGCTTACTGCATTTCAGAGAATAAAAATTGTAGGCAATAAGCGTTACAGTCGCTTGTTTCTGGCATTTTACAACGAGAAACACAACTTTAGTTCATTAATTTCAATTAATTATTAACTGAATGCTTATTTTAATTGAATTCAAAATAATGGTATAAAAATAACGAACCTCAAAATCTGATATTACCTAATCGGTGTTGGATTTTTTTTACTTGACACAAATTTGAAATTGCTCTATAAGTTTTTGTACTTGTATATGTTGGGGTAACAAAATGTAGAATAGCGTAATTTATATTGTGAAATAAGTTATATTTTTGTATGTTTTTCTTACCGCGAAATGAAAGCAGTAATTTCCTGTGTAATTAACGTGTGCGTTGAACCATATTTATTTGGCAACATTTGCCGTGTTTTTAAATTTTTTCACAATTTTATTGCACTTTTACTGACAATGTATATTTTTTGCTGATAAAAATGAATAACCCTGTAATCTGGGTAACTGAATTTTTTTTTTTTTTTTTTTTTTTTTAATGAAATGAGACTCATTTTATGCAATTGGTTTTATAGGGGCCAATTTGTTAGCTTCTAAAACTGAATTAAGTCTGTCTTAAATAATGGAGTTTTTTTTGTAAATTTTCGCTAATAGCGATAACTAGTACTTTCTATCTGCTTGATACTGCACATATAGTTACTGTGTGTCACATTTGTAATAAGTGCCCTTATAGGGTTAACCGTGGACTTAAAATATCTGACCACAGCAATCTAAACTGAGATATTTGTTAAATTTCACCCAAATACCTACCGGTGATAACAAAAAGACAAAGAGTTTTTTCATACATTTTTCCAGGATGTTAAGAAATGTTAGTGATCAGGTAGCTCATTAGCCTATTTGAGATATGGCGATTACAAAAGAGGGCGCTGTTTGGTTTGGGGGAATACAAAAGACTGTACCCAAATGAAACAGCGCCCTCCCATTGCGTCTGCCATATCTCAAATAGGCTCATGGTTCAGTTGTTATCTGTTATTTTTTTTTAATATATATATATATGGTGATGGCTGTATCCACTGCGGTAAATCGCATTATCTTGTGGTTGAGTTGTTTGTTTGTTAGGATGTTGATGTTCGTCTTCTGTTTGTCTCTGGGTTATTTAGAATATGATTTTGCTCCTTTTTTTCTGTGTGTGGGGGGGGGGGGGGGGGGGGGACAGATACAATTGCTTGAAATGAACCCAAGCCTCTCTGTGCACGGACAATAGACGACGTTCCGTGACCACATACGAATGGCCCAGTGAAAGGAACGCAACATGTGCACGTACTAGTATGGTGCGAAGTACAGAATGCACAGTGATTTTTATTCTGAACGTGTGCGCAAAGCCGTAGCGTCTTCGCGTGAGCATCAGCAGTAGTCAGCAGTGCATTTCAATGTCTCACTCCCAGTGGTCTCCCCCAACTCTCGCTTTGTAAACATTGAGGGGGTAGTTGTGCCCATGGCACTAAAACTCTGGAGCTTAAATGAACCTAAAGATGTTCGTGAAGACATTCTCAGGTCCAGAGGTGGACAGAGGATTTTACTTAATTAGATGAATATTCTGGGAACCCTTTGAATCCGGCAGGGGACTGGAAATCCAACCGACATGTTGGCCCAGGCGGGATTCGAACCGTGGTCACAGAATGTATAAGACTGCACCGAGAGCTGAATCACATACTTTTGCTTGTTGAGAGGGAAGTTTGCACTCAAGTTTCAGATTTCTACATGTTACTTTGTGTTTTTGTGTTCGTTGGGTTTTTTGGGGGGGGGGGAGTGGCTTATTTTTTATTTGGGGGAGGCCAATATTTAGTGTTATTATGAAAGACAGCTGTGTCAGAGTATTGTTTTGTAGTGTCATGTTACCTTGGTTTTAATGTCCAAAAAACCACAAGTATTGTGATTTATTGTAGTGGTTCAGGGAAGGTGAACTGCAGTACATCCCGTGTGGTTCATGATCCGTTGATGACTGCTCCAATTCTTGTTTCTTTGAAGCAGACCTGGAGATTAATATTTACTGCTTTTCCTGTTTGTGTCAAAAATGTGGGGAAAAATGATGTGGGTGTGTATTTTCGTAGAAGCCAAACTGGGAGGGTATGTCACGGGCAGAGTCTAAGGCCTTCAAGAAAAAAATTCAATGTTGCATGTTTGTCATGCCTGTGACGTAGTGTCATGCATGTGACATATGTCATGTTTTTGACATTGGTCATGTATTTGACATTGGTCATGTATTTGACAGTGGTCATGTATTTGACATTGGTCATGTATTTGACATTGGTCATGTATTTGACATTGGTCATGTATTTGACATTGGTCATGTATTTGACATTGGTCATGTATTTGACATTGGTCATGTATTTGACATTGGTCATGTATTTGACATTTTGTCATGTATTTGACATTTGTCATGTATTTGACATTGGTCATGTATTTGACATTGGTCATGTATTGGACATTTTGCCATGTATTTGACATTGGTCATGCATTTGACATTTGGTCATGTATTTGACATCTGGCCATATATTTGACATTTTGTCATGCATTTGACATTTTGTCATGCCTGTGACGTTGCTGTCATACCTGTGACACATTGAGCAATCCCTCTGACATCAGTGAGGTAATTGTGCCAACGTGACCTGTCACAGGGTGTGACCGAAAAGTACACTTGGTCTACATCAAGGGGCAGGCATCATTAAGATCTGTTACCATTTGACCATGCAAACTCTGTGTCAGTTGCCTCCTAGTTTGGCTCGTTGAGACAACTTTTCCGAACTTGACTTAAACACCGATTGTGAGAATCTTTCCCGATTTGTGACTCTAAGAGGTTTACCAGTGATGATTGAACTAAGTGCAGATTTCTCTTTGGCAAACCCCGCTATTTGTGCGGTGCGGACAACAGTCCCACCAAAGAATATCAAAGAAACGCTGCATCATCACTTGGTATCCTCTGAAAATACTATAGTGACCTAATAGCTCCTTCGAAGCGTGGCATCACAGATTTGCTCAAGCTTTCAATTCAAGGTGAAAGGAACATTTTACTAGCTTTCGGAAGACCGGCAGCAGTCTTAAAGGTCTTGCGTTGCATTCAGAGCAGACTTGGAATTGTGGGATTGCAAAATGTTTTTCCTTGAATTGAAAAAAAAGTGAGTAAATATGTAGATCCGCTTTGATGAGAGTTAAGTAAGACACGCTTTTGGAGTGTATCTTTGCCGACTCTGTCAAAAGATGTTTGGTCGATGAACTTTATTATAAAAGTTCTCGACAAGGATGAAGGATTGTGAATCCGATTCGGATTCACGCGATAATCGATTCTACTTAAAAACAAACGAAGTAATAAAAAAACAATGGTATTAAAAACGCAGGGCGTTGACCCTGCTGTTTTCGATTTACGCTTGCTGTTTTATTGATTATTAAAAAAAAAAACCAATACACGAAAAGCTATAAAGTGTGTTTTATCACTTTTAAATAGAGAGGAAAGCAAGGCTCTGGTGATGTGGAAGGGTGTATTCGGAGCTAGTGTGTAGAGCTAATTTTAGTAGCACGTAATGTTTCGAAGTGATCAAAATGCCAACGTTCCGGTTGACGACTGGAGCGGAGTCTATCGTGGGTTGCTTTGTAATGTAACCCTGGCACGATAGATTGGCACTGTTTGTATCTTGTGTTTAGAAAAAAAACTTTTTAAAAAATCCTCTAGGTTGCTTTAAGTATGGGGAACCCAGCTGGTGTCTGTTTTAAAAACAAAACTTTCTATTTCTCTCTCTGAAATGGGTTCTTCGTTGTGTTTCTGGGGAGGGGAAAAAAACACCAACAGAAAAATCGGAAAGTGCCTACCGTACATGGCACGTTCAGCAGTGTTCATTTTTTTCGTTTTAACAAACACTAACATTGTTAATCGTTAAAATTAACATTGGTGATCGAAGGGTGAAGTTATCCGATCTTATTCCCCCCGGGTGTTGCTGCGATGTTGAATGTGATGTAAAACAACGCAGGTTTGATACAGACTGAAAACAAAATAAAGTTTTTTTTCCAGGTTTTGGAAAAAGAAACTAGAGATGTCAAATGGTTTTTCTTGTGTTCGAGAGTTAAGTATAGAATCCATTTAACAAAGACCATTTTGCACGATATCATTGCCCCGCCAATATGCAGTATCGCGTTTCATATTAATATGAGCAAATTGGAAAGAAAAGGAGTGTTTTAGAGAAGGCGTGGACGTTATGATTTCCTATCCAGGGCTTACTATTGGAAACGACGAGGTTGACCTACCCTGGGAAATGTTTCCTATGAACAAAAAACGCCCCCATGAAATTTGAGACTCGTACGTGTTTCATAGCATTTTCACTCCTGAAAACGACACCACAACGCTTTCTTTTGAGGAAGCGGTGACAATTTTATTATAATACGGTTAACCAAACGGAGAATGTGAAGCGGAGAGATATTCGATACATTGCAAGGTGTTTCCTCAAAATGTTGCTGTTGTTTGGATGTGTTACTGGACTCACACGCATGTTTTGACCTAGTTATGGACTTTCCCTTTCTGGCACGTGCCAGACCAAGCAAGCACACAAATAGGCCCTAAAAACGGTGACAGTTTGTTTGTGCCGTCTCTGAGTGTGTGACTGGGTGTTTTGACTGCGTATAAGTACAAAGGCTATGCATGATAATAGTCTGAGTATCACCCGTTGTCCAACGGAGCCCTCTCCGCACTAGTCTATGTAATAGACCATGACAGGAGATGGCTCCGTGGATAACGGGTGATACTCAGACTATCTCCGTACCGTATCCAACGTCTGATTATATCTGAGCGATGCAAATTGTATGCGACTCCGCGCGCCAGCCAATCGGACTCGTCTTTAGAAATTGTGACGTCATTGCGATCAGCTGTTGATTAGTCAATTTGGATGCCATGTGTTTCGTAATAGAACGACGGGTTACGGAAGACCCGATGCAAAGCGCCCGCTGAAGGATCAGAATCTCAAAGTCAAGACGCGGTCTTATATACGTGTGCCTGATGCGGTCGCATGGACGGGAGTTCGTTGGATAAAAGTGTGACGAAAATGAGTGTTGGCATAACATGGCGGCTTCGGATGGAACGTTTGGAAGCCCAAAACACAATGTAACAGCATAGCGGGTATAGGGATTTTGGTAAACATATTATTCCCAAAAAGCAATTTGACTAAAAATGACCAAAACACATAGGTAAAGAGTGTACGCGTGTGGAAATCATAGTGCTGCCAAGTGAGGCATAATAAATTATGATAGGTAACTGGCGAACCAACATTGTGAAAAAAATACTTCGCCACTGAATATGAAAATTATAACGGTGGGCACAATGAGAGCCACGTCTCTAAAAGGGTGAGTTTGCGATATGGCCTCACATCCGAAAAACAACTTATTTAATCCGCTATACCAGATAAACGTGCCATAAATAGAGCATATTCCTGGAAACAAAACTCTCCAAATAGGTCATGAATCGTCGCAGACCTGTGGGCTATTCGAGATAAAGGCGAAATTAGCCTTCGTTTTTGCTATAAGCCGTACCAGACACATCCTGTCAGTTGCGCTATACCCTGGGGGGAAACAGCCGAAATTGGCACCGACATTTTTTTTTATTGGATCTTAATACATCAATAGATTTTGTTTTTATGATTTGGCATAATGTTCAGTGTTTATCATGATGTGGCAAATCTCTGGTCATTTCAAACTTGGTTTTCGAAAAATATAAATCCCCTGCCAAATTAAGTTGGACATTTTTGTCAGGCTCTTTTAAGTGTTATTCCTGAAAATCCAAGTCATTGTAAGTATCCAGAAGGCCTAGCTGAGGGGCCTCAAGCCTCCTCTCCCTTCCCCTGATTTGCTAGATTACCCACATCGAGCCCTCGGTGTCTGCGGAAAATTGTGTTCAGGAATTTCAGAGGAATGTCCTATGTTACTACCAGGTCTTAACCGTCATTTTTGGGCCCACCGCACCCTTAATTCGTCAGGTACGCGTGCATGTTGTAATTGTCCGAGGAGAAATTCATGATATGTAAATAATGCATTATATAAATAATTAAGCCTAAATAAGCAGGAAAAATGAATTATATGATAAATAATGAGTTATAAATTATATAAATAATTTTGTTAAATAATTTATTTACACATGGCGCTCATACCTTCCTTCAGTATTTTGACTCTTTAATTGCGCGCGTGTATGTCGTTTTTTTATTTTTTTTTTATTTTTTATAGCGAACCGGATCAGCCTCCATACTGATGACGTCGCCAGTGGCACATCCAAGGGGGGGGGGGGGGGGGGGGCCTCGGGGGGGGGGGGGGGGGCTTGATCCCCCCCCCAGGAGGTTGTCAATTTTCAATTTTTTTTGGGTAATTTGTTTGTTTAGTCCCACAATCTGACCTTGGTGATAATGTATGTGGCCTATTTTCGAGTATTATAATAGGGGTGCCAGTGGCGCCACCAACGTCAACCGCCAAAAAAACCCAATTTTTTTTCTGCGGCCAAAACTTTTGGGCAAGATTTTTGAGAAAAAAATTTGACTCCTACAAAATTGTGTTTACTTGACAGGCTCCCATAAGAAAAGCACATGGATATATAAACAACGTGTGATCATTAGTACAGAGGCTTATTACCGACACGATTTCAAGTCTACGGCCAGTGCGTGCAGCATCATCAATCAGTGGTGTTAGATGGTGCAGTCCCCGAGCTGTCGTCCCTAACCTTATCTCGTGTACGCACATACCTTCTGGCCAACGCACCTCTGAACCTGAGCATGTCATTTACCGTACACCACTAAGTGCACACAAGGAAATACTCTTCACATTAGATTGTCACATCTTAGGTACTATACAGGGTGGATAAAAAAAAACCGAAACCGAGATATTATTGCTAATTTGAACAGAAGTAGGGCACATGTGGATCAAAGGGAGATATCTTCTGTTAGGGTTGAATCTCCCGAAATGACACCCTGATCATGTCCTTATACATTGGCAACCATAGCCTTTCACTCTGTGACAATTGACACAACAAAAACCACAATTGAAAAGTGGCGCAATTCTCTAAATATACCCTTTCATAAAATTGGAAACTACTCGGTCAACCGTGAATGTAAAGACATGATCAGGGTTTTATTTTAAAGAGGAGATTCAACCCTAACAGAGGATATCTCTCTTTGATTCACATGTGCCCTACTTCTGTTCCAATTAGCAATCTCGGTTTCGGTTTTTTTTTTATCCACCCTGTAGAACTAGAGATCAGTGCTATACAGAAGCGTATTTTAAGGACACGAGGATTTTTTTCTGCACCCACTTTTTATTCCGCTTGGGTGGATAACTGTTTCGCCCGGATGGATATATTTTCTTGAGCTCAAAACGGCTCAAATGAACCACAATAACCTCAGACGAAAAATGCGACGCCGATGGCACATATGGAACACCATTGCTTTTGGTCAATTTTGGGGACATTTCCTCCTTCTGGATACCGTCCAACCACTACACAAAATACGTCGTGACTATAACATACATTATTGCACATATTTTGCCTCCAACTTTTCATAAACATCTTTTCGGATTGATACAAACAATATCATTATTAGTATTAGATTTATTTTGTTGCGAACATTTTGATTTGGTAGTTTTGTTTTGTCGGAAGTTAACTTATGGGTGTTATTTGGTACATTTTCGGGGCCAGACATAAAGCAAAATAAACCCACATGCGCAGCGATCGAAACAAAACCCGAGTTCCCAAAACTTTGTAATACTTCGGGTCAATGTTCGGGGAAAGACGGACAGACAAACCGACCGACCGACCGACCAACCGACCACCAAGGGACATGAAGAAACATAACAACAAACACAAAACTTCGAGTTTTATTTGTTGTCTAAGTCATGCGGGTATGCGTTTTGTAGGAGTATAAAACAGATCCAGATACCAGAAAATAATTATCAAAGTCCTTTCTTTGAAAAAATAACGTTATTAATAGTCGAGTTGAGAGGTCGTGTGACATATGGGGTTGCAGTAAGGTCAAATCAAGTCAAATTGAAAATACGATCATAGGCACTGAAACGAATAGAAATGTCAATTTGTCCAAGTCACATAAGAACGATATGAAACCTGTGTACAAATATGAATCTTTGTTTCGAGATAATTTCGTTAAGCCATCATGACGTCATTACATATCCAAAGCGATTTTTGCAATTTGGTCAGTTTTAGCAAATGGTTTTTAAAATTGAAAAAAAAAAAAGTTTGGACACGCAGCTAGAGGGCGCTCGTTAAGATACGACGTCATTATGCCATCTTAATACTATTTGCTTGTGTGTGTGTGTGTGTTTTTTTTTTTCATGCGCGATACATTTCCATTGTTTTCGTAGAGAAAAAAAGTCACCTGACAAGAAATCGTAATCTTATTGGTCAGTCCGCACTGTTTGATCGGTCTATTCGCATTGGCGGGAAAAAAATAGTCCGCCCTGGCGAAGTAGTAAAAACCGCCTGGGCGGAGTAGTGGGCTGGCATAATTCGTTTGGTCGTGTCCAAAATACGCTTCCGTACCTGAGCCTTTGATCTTGAGTCACAAACCGAAGTGGGTGTACATTAGCATTGAAGTAAACATACGTGGTCTGTCTGTGATCATGAAGAGACTGTTGTTCAAGATTCTTCTTTTCTTGCTGTACATTCTTGAAGCAGGTAAGTAGATAACAGTATGCAGGTGTATAGTAGGTGCTGTCCATAAAGTACGCACAAAATACCAACTTTTTAGGACCCCCCCCCTGCACGCATGGCATAGTATACAGGGTGAGTAAAAAAAAAGTGAAACCCAAATGTCGGGACCATTGTTTTAGTGAAGTTCTTCATGTAGCCCTTTCAAAATCTAGGATACAAAAGCCCAATTCTTAGGCTTTCTTTTAGTACAAGAATCATTCAAATCACTCATGTACTTTTCAAGTTACGGAATTTTAAACACAACCACCGTTTTAAAGTTCTGTCCGCGGATCACAAGAAGGTGAGTGTTCTTTCAGCCAAACGACAAATGGATGTGTGTGAATTGTTTTCGTTTTGCTGAAAGAACGCACACCTCTTTTGTGATCCGTGCACAAAACTTGTAAAATTCTGTAACTTGAAAAGTTCATAAGTGATTTGAATGATTCTTGTACTAAAAGAAAGCTTATGAATTGGGCTTTCATATCCTAGATTTTCAAAGTGCTACATGCAGAACTTCACTAGAACAATAGTCCCGACATTTGGTGTGTTTTTTTTACTCACCCTGTATATGCGCAGTGGTTCCACTGCCCCCATTACTTTACAAAGCATTACGAATGCGTTATGCTTGTTGGCTAATTAAACTGGCAGTCTTTTTTTGATGAACGTGTAGTTATTGAACTTACCAAACTAGTTGGCGACATTTAAACCAACAAGAGTGTCGTGGATAGAGGGCAGAGTCTTGATTTTTTTGTGGGAAATTTTGGGGTAAACTTGAAACTATGACGGAGCCGACAAATTGCAACACGAAAATATAGATGGCGATCACCGCGACGCGCCGTGAATGCGCAAAATCGCGTTGATTAATTCGCATTGCATGAACCAAAAAAACCGTATACTAGAAAATCGCCTTGTCTACAGAAAGATACTGTTCAAATTCCAAAAAAAATATTTTGTCAGATTTCAGAGAAGTCAGCTTTAGGTTGCAGAATTTGTTTTGGGAATAATGGAAAAAAAAACTTTTGACAATTAACTACTTTACCAAACTAAGAAGGGCCCATAGTCATGAAATTTTGGTATGCACCGGTACCCGCTAGCTGGCTGGGCGGAGTCGTAAAGTTTGTATTGTTTACATGTCTTAAAAAGTTGTAAATGAAAAAAAGAAAGTTAGAGTGTTAATTGAAAGCATCTTGCGTGAACGTAATCCTTGACATTTTGAGGAAAAGACATCTTTAAAGAGACCATGCACGGGCCCTGTAACTTCATGCCGATAGGCAACCACCGGGGGACTTTTGCATAATAGGCCCAGACTAATACCTTATAGGGAAAGATATCTAGTATCTAGGTAAACGAGGTATCTATGGTTCCAGACCAGTAAATAAACTTCCATAGACCCCAATGGTAAATGCTCCCACTTAAGAAATTCGGGAAAAAATATACTCACAACTCTCCAAGGTGTTCGAGACACACATCAAATTAAAGCTTATTTCATCATCTTTCATTTTCTTTTCAATTTTTGGGGGTCAACTGATGACTTTTAAGAGAAATTTCCATCCGAAGATGATCACCCCTTCAAATAGTCCTGAAGCCCATCGCCATTTTGAAAAACGATGCCCCATTGCAAAATAGAGCGCTTTTAGGTTCCAAATTACACAGAACTGCAAGCTTCCAGTCCTGTGCACGGCTTCCACCCATATTTTTTTTTATAAACCCTCAAGTTCATGGCCCACAATACTCTCAAATACTGAAGATTTTGAGGGCATGCAAATCGTGATTTGGCCGGCGTAGGCAATTTGGGGCCTATTTACTGGTCTGCAACCCTAGATTAAAACCCTAACTCCCTCCCTGGTTTACTAGGAACCATACCCATCCTGGCAAATTCCAACACCATATGGAAAACTGCACACACATATTAAGGGTAAACATTTTCATAACGTAAATGGGCTAGGTCGATTGCTGTTGATCGATGGGGGTAGGAAATACAGGGAACTTGGGGTTATTATGGGTCATTAATTTTCAACCAATTTTACGAGCAATGGGGATTTCCCTAAGGCTCCATGAGTGAGTTGTTTTAATAATATAAGCAGATGTTCATGCCATGGTAGAAATGAGAGTTCAATGGGTTATCGGTAGAAGCGTGAGGCATTTAGATTAGCCTGTATTGTTTTTATATTTATTTATGTATTTTTTAAAATGTATTACTAATTAAACCAAGGATTCCCCAAATATCGTCCTAGGCATTGTAAGCTCGAAAGCTTGAAGAAACCTGTAGAGAGAACTTGAAGTGAATCAGAAGAACTTACCGTTTTAGAGGCTACGTGGGATAACAAAAACCCAGAACAATATTCCGGGCGGAGCCCCAGGGAGCCCAAACAGTTTAAAAACTGGTTTCCAGGACCCTGCTGCTTTCGTTATACATTTTAGGTCTTCCCGGCCAATTTCCAAATTTTGCTGATAGTTTACATTATCAGCTACTAAATTTCGAGTGATTTTGTTTAACACTTCTGATCAGATTGGGGTTTCTTTCTCATTGTTGGGGCATTCAATTTCATTTTTTTCTCACGGTATAGAGTCTGAACCGGGCCAGTACCGGCCCTTATATAAAACAACTCATACCGGCAAGACGGTACAAAGCCTGAATCGGACCAGTGCTTAACCCTAAAAGGGCCGGGTTATTTTGACCATGTCTAAGCCGGGGGGGGGGGGCGGATTCCGTTCCCCTAAGATCTCAGCCATCGAGTGACGAAACATTTTGAAACTCGGTACATGCATAGAACTACTTATCATGAACATACCCAAGAATTTTCATGACTATAGGTCAAAGGGTTTTGGAATTATGGCTATTTAATCATTCATATGCACGAGTGGTAATTCTGCTCTGTATACGTATATGGGAAAGTTCATTTTTCACGGCGCGTAGCGCCGGAAAATTTTTATATTTTTGGTATCAAAAGATGTGCAAGGCTTGAGGCTAAAATATCTGAACAGCGAAAAAAATTCAAGGCTATCGCGGTAAAAGTTTTTTTTTTGGGGGGGGGGGCGGAATCCCCCCCCCTTTTAGGGTTAAAATGGACAGCCCTGGTCCAATTCAGGCTCTGTGCCGTCTTGCCGGTACGGTTTTCTTTAAAAAGGCCGGTACTATCACGGTTCAGCGAAAAGAGGATAAAACATTCAATCTAAATTTAATGAAATTAAAATGAAGAAAACTGGTAAAATTGGTCAGGAAAACCTATATTAAAGAAAGTTAAGTAAAGTTAAACTCATGGGGAAAAATGTATTGTTGAAACAAATAGGTGAACATTAATATGTACAAATACAGGGTGGTGCAAAAAGAAGGAAACCCATTTGTGACAGCAATTTTTACCTACTTGATGAGCATATTTCAAAAAATCAATTTAATTGTATTAATATAGGTTTTCCCGGCTATTTTCAAAGATTTTTTACTCAAATTCACCAACTCTATCATTATTTTTGTCCACGAAAAATTACCCAGGAGTTTTAACAAAACCAATGTAGTCATTTACCATTCAATTATAACGTTTGGTCACCCTCTTAATAGTAGGGGGGCAATGTGCAGATTTGGGTTCCCGTCGAAATTTCATGTTAATTTTTGGCAACCATTATAAATGTAATCTTATGAGTCCTGAGAACAAGAAAATTGATGTTGCCATTTTTTCCATTGACCTTTAGTGACCTTGACCTGAGATCAAAGTTCATGGGTCATTTTCACCTAAAATTTGCCTTTCGGAAGGGTTTGCAAAGATTTTCGAGGCAAGTGAGCAGATATTGTATTTGGTTGAGAGTTTCTCCATAATAATAAATGTTATTATTAATGTATTTATGGGTTTTCCTGAAGAAAACATGGGAAAATGTCACTTTTGCCCGAAAAGGGCTGGGTTGTTTTGACCATCTCACGCAGATTCCGGCCCCCCCCCCCCCCATGACCTCAGCCATCGAGTGACGAAAAATTATGAAACTTGGTACATGCATAGAACAACATAACATGAACAAACCCAAGAAATTTCATGACTAAAGTGAAAAAAGTAGGAGTCAATTTCTCAACATAACAGTTTATTAGAATAAACCCATAGCTCTCAGTGCCTACTGGCAACTGAAATTTACAAAAAAGTGTATTTTTTTCGAGGTTAATTTATTCAGGAACTGTGTGGGAAAGGGAACTGGATAGATTGTAAACACATTGCTGTTCCGGACAAAAGGTATATAGGCCTATTTCAAAATGTTCAAAAACATGTACCGGTATAGTCATTGTTTTTTTCCCCTCAAACTTCCTCATTATTTTTTACAAACAATATTAACAATGCTGTGTTTTGCGAGAGTGATTAGTTTAGTCAAGAACAGCCAATGATTTCACAGGTTTGAAAGTAGGGCCTACTACCAGAAAGCAAGACTTGTCAGACAAAATAAATTTTCTCTCTTGAAGAAAAAAAGGAACACTGAAATCAGGTAAAATTATGGATCCATCATCGTCTCGTTCGAGACTTTCAACAATGGGCGAGAGAAAATAATGCTCAATATAATTTTGCATTAATTTATTGCATTAATTTTACTTGGGATTCATAGGAAATATAGGTAGGCCCTACACACAATTTATTACAAAATTTACTACAATATATTCAGTAACAGAAATGTACGAAGAGATTTAAAGACGAAAATAAAAAAAACTAAAAAAAAACATTGCCGACGATGTCTTTTGATTAACTGTGCTGACTTCTGACAGAAGTACAGGAACGCGGCCCGCAAATATAAAGGTATCAGAACATAAACCTAAACGAAACGAAACGAAAGTACGAAAGGAAACGAAAGGAAACGAAAGGAAACGAAACTACGAATAACAAATTAAAACTAGAGATGTGTTTGTGGACAAACACAAGCTGTTTCGGATATTCAAAATACTCTGTGCACGTGATGAACAATCAGTGACGTCACTAAAAATGTCATCTATAACAGCACATTATACGTACATGTCA